TTCCTCTAAAACCTGGATAAGCGCTTTGTCCTCTTCCTGAATAGAAGAATCTATAAGTGGAGTCTGTAATTCAGTAGCTAGCTGGGGATCATTGGAATAATGTTTTATCGTGAGGGATCAAATAAATCGATTTAGGTCTTGAAATAGTCTAAATTTATTGGGGCCTATTGCAGGTAAAAAGCTTAGACCCTTCTGGAGTAAGAATAACTCGACATCCGAAAAAATATAAGAGGAGAGATTAAAGATTTTTATTGTACTGGCAAGTTTAGTTGTTCTGTTCTCTCTTTCTTTCTTTGCCTGATACACTGTTCAACAAATTTTTATTTTTTGCCAGTTTTGGAAACAAAAGGATCCATTTCTTAATGAATTTCACATTCTGAGTTCAAATATAACAATGAAATTTGTCAATTGGCTCTAGTTTTTCTGTAAACGGAAAGTTTTCTACTATAGGCGTAATGACTACATAATGCACAATAATTATATAGATAGATGTCTTTCCACAAATATAAAGCAAGTGATATTGACTACATAACAAAGCCTAAATGGCATAATATATTGCATAGGATTACCAAGAAAAATTATAGCCATAAGATAAGTTGAATCATTTTAATACTTAGGATTCTCACTAGTTTTGTCTTCAGTTTGTGTCGGTTTTGCTTCTCTTGGCTTTTCTCTTGTATTCGAGGAAAGGGCTATCTCTTACAACTGTCCAGCAATAGTCAGCAAGCATTGATGGGCTCCATTTACCTTGATATCTTCTTTCCATAGCTGCAATGTCTTGATGGAAGCGCTCTCCGTGTTCATCACTCACTGCTCCACAGTTTGGTGGGAAAAAATCCAGATGCGAATGTAGAAAATGAATTTTTAGAGACATGTTGCAACCCAGATTTCTGTAAGTCTGGATGAGTTTTTTTCTACCACTTTCTTGTAGTCTGGTGTTTTATTGTTTCCAAGAAAATTTGATGTCACTGATACAAATGCTGTCCAGGCAGCCTTTTCCTTTCCACGCAACAGAGAAAGAAACTCATCATCATGAATAAGTTTACGAATCTGTGGCCCAACAAAGACTCCTTCATTTATTTTTGCAGCACTAAGTGCTGGAAATTTGCTAATCAGGTACTTGAAACCTGCTTTATTCTTGTCCATTGCCTTAACAAAGTTTTTCATTAATCCCAACTTGATGTGTAATGTGTCTCCTATCTTGCAGCCAAAATACAAGTTGTAGGCTTTCTTAATCATTCCTGTTATCCTCCTTTTTTGTGAGATAAAAGTTATTTCACCGCAGATATAGCAGAAATTATCTGCTTTATTCACACAAGTTTGAGGCATTACTGAGTAGCCTATATAAGCATAAAACGAAATGTAAAGACGCTGTCGAACTACAATCAGCTACAGATACTGCAGCTTTTATGCAGTGAAGTGATGCAATTAAAGGCTAATATTGCATCATCTCAGTATACATGCAATTTTCTATTGGTCACCAGTATCAATTGCGCAATATGCAGCTGAAGTTGCATCATAATTTTGAATGGCTTACGTCATTAGATGGGTGAATATATCATGGAAACTAGAGCCAATCAACATTTTTTAGGGTCATTTTCGTTTTCAGCACCCCAAAATTATGTAAGATTAGCTAATTTTATGCCCAAAACTTTTTACCTGTTGAACAGTGATATCGTTTACCGCTACGTCTGCCTCATCTAGCTTTCTTTTTTCTTTTGAAGTCCCCATTGGGAGGGTTTCTAAAAAAAAAAACGGGGATTGGGGGGTTGATGTCATTATCAATAGATATTGGAATTGTGGTACCACCTATCATGAAGGAATCCAAATCTTTTGAGAGTGGGCCATAGCGATGAGTAGGTATGGCAAAGCAGTTTTTAGATGGATCTATGTTATTCTGTGTGATGAAAGATGTGACTGAGAAGTGGAATAGCTAGGTTCTGTCTCCTTTGTGGGAGGAAGGTTGGTGGACAGATTAACAGGACTACGGGGTGCCAAACGAGGTGGTGTAGGTGGTATAGGTTGAATTGTTGATGTCGACAGGTTGTCGAGAGTATGACTAGATGCAAGAGCTGTGTGTTGGGTAGAAGAAGGGGGTTTAAAAAACTGTCTGCGAGGTTTATGTTTATTATGGTTGGTATTTGCATGCAGACTGCCATGATGCTGAGCCTCCATGACTGAAAGACATGATGTCCAAACAAATAAGGGGGCAGGCAAGGCACAGGGAAGGCTGTAGAGGAAAGGGCTAGATGATTTCAGTTTGGAAATGAGGCAGGTACTAACTGACTTGCTGCAGCTTCTACTGCACACTGTAAGAAGCTCACAGTGTGAAGTGAAATCAGAGTAAGCAATTTCAGTAAAGAAGAAAAGCCTATATGACTGAGTGAGGCGGAAGGTAAGGTTGGAGTTCAGCTTTTACATCTGGGCATTGTGGCATTATAAATACGCATGTAAATTGAGATGTCATGCAAAATGAATGGCACGATAATGCACCATAGATCATATATTATCACAATGAAAAGTTCTGTATGAGGTCTAAATTAAGCCAAGGAATGGACCAACATAAAAGTCAGGAACAAGTCAGTCCATTATAGCAAGCAGCAGGCTATTTAAACCTAAGCTTGCCCTCTTGCTGTCTGATATTTCACATCAGAAGTCCTTCCTCCTTCGGTAGTAGTGATAGGCAGTCCTATTGCTTAAACACGATCACATAATGACCTGATATCACTGTCTAGTATGGTGAGCTCACGGTGCAGGATACTGCCCCTGGGATCATTTCCATAACAGCCTGGGATTGCAGCAAGTGAATTAAATAATACTGGTTGATATTCAGCCTTGAAGATTGAGGACATCCAGTGCCAGAGAAGTACTGTGAGGGATAGAACAGGATTGAAGGTGTTAAAAATGCTGCTTCTTCTGCAATAGTCTTATACAGCATGTTATTACAGAATAAAATAAATGCTCTTCTTGGAGCATGGAATCCAAATTATTGTTTTCTAGTACAACGTGGTTAGCAATGATGTGCTTAGGAGGAGAACCTACGGACTTCATTACCACAGAAAGCTAGTGCGCCATATTGCAAAGTGAATCGAAAAAAAAAAAATATAAATATGTACTTTTAAAGCATCCAGATATGTCAAGTTCCCCTGAAATTGCAACAATCTCTCCAGTTTCCTATTTTTCCACATGTATTTGGGGTTTCCATTAACAATAAGTCTTCATTTTTTTGCCTTTAAGATTTTTAATGTGACAGCTACGCAGTAAACAGTAGCAGAGATGCTGCTTAACCTCCATGTCTTGTGCTTGCAATGTGACATTTCCACAACATACACTTCTGCCTTCAGTTGTCCTTAACAAACCTCTGCCTGTAGGTCAGGGTAATTCCCATGTGCTTTAATTATTCTCTTAGCAAAACAGGACAAGAAGAACAGAAATGGTGAAAATGCAAAATGAAGAACCTTCTAATAGAAGTTTATAATACCATGAAAGAAGAAATAAAATAATTTTATGGCTACAGCTTCCACATTTTGTGTGGAAAGAAATACAGAAGCAGCCATTGATGACTTCTTATAAAGATACAAAACGGCCACTACCAGAAACCTATAACTGGTCTCCGTAGCAAGGAGGGCGACACATGTCAACATCAACAAAGAAAAATTCCTAGCTCACTTACCAGCGACCCTGGAACAAACCGAATTACCTAACAGGGGTGTCAAACTGGCGGCCCTCCAGCTGTTGCGAAACTACAAATCCCGTCATGCCTCTACCTTTAGGAGTCATGCTTGTAACTGTCAATTTTGCAGTGCCTCATGGGACTTGTAGTTTGGCAGCAGCTGGAGGACCGCCAGTTTGACACCACAGTTCACGTTTAAAACAGGGGTTTAGTTTGCACACATTTGCAAATACATGTGTAAGCTGCAGAGCCACTTCACGGCACCCCAGTATTATCTGCAATTTTAACTCTATAAATTTTGAGAGCCTCCATAGTAGGAGCACATGTATAATAATGGATAGACAGAGAGCAGGTATGCCTGGAGGAAGTCCATCCCTACTTAAAAGGCACAGGGATGCACTGCACAGCCAGCATATAGCACAATGGCAGCAAAGGTGCCCAGTGCACCCCTCACCAAATTACCAAAAGGTACAAACGACAACCGCCCCACTTTTTTGTGTATTTATGTTACTGATTGTACTCCATAAGGCCCCATTCACCCGATCATTCCAGTCGGGTCCACCTGTCTGTTTTCAGGTGGACCCAATTGGACCCTCCATTCACTTCTATGGAACAGATGTAAATGGACTTATGTCCGTTTACACCCACCTACTTCCAATCCAATCCGGCTAAAAAAAACAGAAGGGGATCAGTTCTCCTCCGTCTGGGCAGATTCGATTACATCTGATTGCTCATAGAGCAGAAAAGGTTTGTGTGTGTCCTCTGCATAAACTGAGCAAACACGGACCTGTTGTTATCAGCCAGCTCCACTCTGAGGGGGATCAGAAGACAGATCCCCCGCTGAGCAAAGCGGAGTTTGCCCTGTGTGAAAGGGGCCTTAGTAAAGGAGAGACACTTGTAACTAGCCAAGGATAACTTGATTCTACTCGTTAAGTGAGCCATTTTGTAAAACATTCCTGTGCCAATTACATGAAGCAAATGGAGAGTGCAAATATTGTTTAATAGTGACTCGATATAATGGATGCATATGACCAGAAACACATTTTTATAGCTTGTGAATTGTGAAAAATTTTAGTACATCTAAATTGCACTTGAAAACAATGAAAAACAGAAAAAATAAATATGAATAATTAAATGTGTTACACTTTTTATAAAAAAAAAAAAAAACTGTTAATAATTTAAAAATAAAAATAGTTATCTCAATTATATAAAATACTGTACAAAAGAGAATAGTCACTGCTATAAAAATGCTTAAATATGGTATTAACAAAAATAATTAGACCGGAGGTGGTTGATCTTTTATATCAGTACTGAAAAAAGCAAGAATTTATATCTTTGGAAGCGCCTTCATATGTGTTGAAGTCCAATCAGTAAGAGATGAGTAGTCTGTGATGGGATGGAAAGACTCGTTCATATAGCTGTAAATCTGATGGCTGGTTGATAAGTCTGGCTCAGGCTCTAGTGGTAGAAAATCTGGCACAGTTCTGTTTTGAGAAAATTCTGTTGAACTGATTGCCATGCTGGCACCACACTTCTCCTGTCATAACAAAGCAAAAAAACAAGACTATAATTGTACATTTTATCATCACCACCTCCACTACCAACAAAGGTAGTGGAAAGAGCAAAGTAGAATGAAGGCAATCTGCCTGGAGACTTCTATGGTCCATCACATATTGTTCATGATATGTATTACCCAGTCCAGTGCTTCTTTGTACCAATCTAGTTATGTAAATCCTAATTTGGGTAAGGCTTTACATAATGTAAACCAGGAGCATTCTATGTTCTAGCAAAACGTTTTACACATATGTGAGAATAGGCCTGGTCTTAAAAGTGGTCAAAGGGGAGTTCCAACCAAAAGCGGAAGCTCTGCTTATTTGTCTCTCTCCCCCCCCTTCACTGCTATATTTGGCACTTTTTTGGGGGGAGGGGGAGCAGATACCTGGTTTTGACAGGTACCCACTCCCACTTCCACCTCAGTTCGCCGTGGCGAAGTGAGTTGGAAGCTCAGCCCCTCTCCTTCCTCCCGCAGTCTTCTGGGACACTTCACAGGTGCCAGAAGACTGCCGGAACAATCAGGATGCCGCATGCGCAGTGGGCACTCGGCTGTGATGCCGCAAGCTGTCACAGCCGGGTGCCCACAGTTGAGATGCGGGCGCCAAGGAGAGAAGAGGGAGAAAAGGGACAGCGCGGGTGAGCAAATTGCTGGAACCTGGGACAGGTAAGTGTGTTTATTAAAAGTCAGCAGCTGACTTTAAATAAACACAAAAATGACTGGAACTCTATTTTAAAAACGGTAGCTATAATGGTTTGGGGTTTGACGACATTTATCAAAACCCGAACAGAGAGAATCTGGAGCAGCTGCGCAATGCAACTAATTAGCGTCTATCTTCAGATTGTTCAGTTAAGCTTTGAAATCAGAAGCAGATTGGTTACCATGTGCTCATGCTCCAGGTTCTGGCTGATTAAGTTTTGGTAGATTCCCTTCTTCACGTTTAAACCAAGATATATTATATCTCTTATTTACTTTATATGTAAATTTTTATTTTGCAAATAAACATTTACCCCCTCCATACTGGGCCAACAATTCCTTCATACATGCAAATATCTGCATTATTTTTGCTAGAAAATTACTTAGAACACCCAAACAGAATACAGTATATATTTTTAAGCAGAGACCCTAGGGAATAAAATTGTGGATGCTGTGATTTTTTATATCACATGGTATTTGCACGATTGTTACCCAATTGCTTGGTATCTATTTACTCAGCATAACATCATCTTTTATATTTTACTAAACATGTCATGCTTTAAAACTGCATATGCCCCTGAAATGGCGACAAATTCCAGAACTTAAAGAATAGGTTCAGCCTTTACAAAAAAAATAATGCACATCTTTTTGCAGGTAAAAAATATGCAGTAATTTTTTTTACTTTGCAGTCTGTATGGCATTGCACCTGCAATCAGCAGATCATGGGTGCAATGCCAGGATCCTGAAGACACCCTGTAAGCTGTCTGCCCACACCTCGTACAAGCAGGCAGTTGCTGAATGGCAAGAAAAATCAATGGACTACACAAGTTCTCACGTCAGTCACTTGTACTTGTAGGCATTCACAGAAAACTATGAATGAATAACGCAGCCGTGTGGGTGGATCCCTGCATGGCCGCGCTGTACCTACATTGTTACAGCAGGTGCGTGGAAACGTTCCAGCGCCAGCTGTCACATGGAGGGGAGAATTGGGGGGGGGGGGGGGGGTTAGAAGGCAGGAGCTGGAACTCAAACTATGGGTGGGGTGGATGCATCGGTTTGATCAGATGCTGTTACATGTGTTAAATCACAAAATCCTCATCGCTGCTGGTGTTATAGACCATAGAGATAATGGGGAAACTTCCGGTCCTCCCTCATCTCTAAGCGCAGCACTCTACAGCACTCAAACCACTTTTTACATGATTCAACATGTGACATGATTGATTCTGTTCAGGAGTATTAGATACAGGACCTTCAACCTATTCCCCTTGCACTTATGATCTGTCATATGTGGTGAAGAAAATCCCACAAGGAGTACTCACAATTGTTACTGCAGATAAGAAAAATGTAAAGTGGTGCTAAAGTCTAAATGTGTTTTACCTTCATGCATTCTCTACAATAGGGTTAAAAAAAAAAACACCCCACTACCTGTCCTAACCCCAGCACTATCTGTAAGCACTTACCTAGCTCCATGTCATCTCCAGCTCCAGCACTGCTCCCTTCACTTCCTGCTCTCACAGGAGAAACTGAGGGCAGTTGAACCATTGGTTCATGCTGCCATCAGTCAATTTCCTGTGAAAAGGGAGGAGGAAGTAACTTACCAACGCTGTGTGTGTGTACGTGTGCACACAACCCACCTCGGAAGCATGCATTGGTTACTACCTTTAGTATAACTATGAGCCCAGAAATGTCCAAAGATCTCTATGCTGTACATACTGATGCAGCAAGAAGTAGAGGACACCAGACAGCTATTCGCGTGTGTGGGGAAAGTGGAGAGTACATGCACAGTATGAACAAAGAAAAGAGCTCTATGAATGCAGGACACGTGGCTGACTGAGAGGTCCACCTCCTCCATTCCCACATCACTTATCATTGATGGAAGCTATAATACAGCTTCTACGAATGGAGGAGGGGGGCAGAAAGGGCAGGCATAGTCAGCACTCTTGACAAGTGTCTATGACAGGTTCAGGGACTGTATTAACCACTAAAGCACCAGAAGTTTGTGGAGGTAGGTAGACAGAGGACAGAAGAATCACATAAGACTGCAGCCATCAGCACAAGGGACATTTCTCATTGAATTTAAGTACTGTCCCTTGTGGTGATTAAAAAAAAAATATATATATATATATATATATATATGACTGCATTTGGGCAAAAAAAATATCAACAAAGCCTTAAATAATCATATAGCAATATAAATGAGTCCTCATCTGATAAAATCCCCACCCTATAATTAGTGGCAAACAAATCCTAGGAAATAAATCTCCAAAAAATACAAAAATAAATGAACAACATTAAAAAAAATAAATAAGATGAAATGAAAAAATGAAGTAAATAAAGTCCTTTTCACAAATATAGTGGAATTAATACCCATGATTTATGACTAAGTCCTGGATGTGACGAAACGCGTCAAAGGAAGTGACGTCGGACATACAGCAGGAACCGGAAGTGGTACGGCGGCCATCTTAGAGTTTGGAAACCGCAGAGAAATCCACCTGGAAGCTGCCTGGTAACCCTTTGAACTGGGAATACACTTACAACGCTTGTTTTTATATTTGTCTGATGTAAGCAGATTGATTAAAAGGTATTGTTCCATTTTCCAAACGGTGTTATACTATTATATTATTGCTTGTCACCTATATACGATTTGGAGGAATCTTTATGAGATCTGGGCAAGGCTCATGTGGTACCATGATGGGAAGGTAATAAAAGTGGAAAGCTTCAGGAGTAGAGGAGAGGAGAAGAAGCGTTTCTGATGATACCTTCTATTGCTTTACAAGGCGTTTTATCTTATGATTTCTGGTAAGGGTATATTTGTGGATTTTCAGTAGAGGTGACACATCACTGGAGTTGTTTTTGGCACAGAGTGAAGCACATCACTGATTTTGCACAGTGTTGGTTTATTTCACAAAAAGTTTTGTTTTTTGCACTAATTTTTATTTGCACCAAATAGAGTGATATGGAATATTGTTATTGAGGTAATACACTATTGTAAGTTTGTTTTTCTTTGAGGCATTCTCCAACCTCTTGGGAGCCAGAGGAACGGCTCAACATCTCTAAAGGACTATCAAGTTGGAGTCTGGACATTGCTTTATTTATTTATAATTTTGGACTTTAATGACACTGGGTATTAATTCCACTATATTTGTGAAAAGGACTTTATTTACTTCATTTTTTCATTTCATCTTATTTATTTTATTTAATGTTATTCATTTACTTTTGTATTTTTTGGAGATTTCCTAGGATTTGTTTGCCACTAATTATAGGGTGGGGATTTTAGAAGATAGGGACTCATTTATATTGCTATATGATTACTTACAATTTCAAGGGTGAAAGTTTTTTATGAATATTGGGATAGTTTAGTAGATCTATTGGGTACCGTATTTCACATTTATAGCCTTAAATAATGACAAATGACAGTTACCGGAAGCAAGTCTCTGTCTTCTCGCAAGCATGCAGACTGTAGCTCCGACTTGAGAGTGGATATGCGCTTCTCATGTAACGTTATTTTTCTTTCAAGTGCTGCTGCTTTGGTGCATGCAATGTGGTAGACATCAAGGAAATTTCTGATCATAATCTGTGTGGGGGAGTAAACAATAATAAGGTAAGATAATGAATAACATCATACCACTTTCAGGATCATATGAAGTAGTGTTGAATAAAGTGGGTAAGGATTAAAACCTCTATCGGGTTTTTACTGATGTCATTTGGTAGTTTTCCTACACTTGTCACAAGTTCATCAAGTCAGAGGAAATCTCAACGGAAACCCAAGCAATAATACAAACCCAAGAGAATTAAACCCTCCCAATAATTTACAAAATAAAAAAAAAATTAAATAAATAACTGGGGCTATACACAATATACTAAACATTGGTACCCCTAGGTTTTCACAAAACACTATTCACTGCTACACTGTATGGCTGAAAGTGTGTGTACCCCTGACCATCACAACACATCTAATTCCAAAACCATGACCATTAATATGGAACTGCCAACATCCCCCCATACTTTCACTATTCTAGGAAGGCTTTCCACCAGATTTTGGAGTGTGTCTGTAGGAATGTGGGCCTAATCAGCCAAATAAAAATGTTTTAAGTCAGGTTGTGATGTTGCGTGAGAAGACATGGCTCACAATCGACAGTCCGATTCATCCCAAAGGTGTTCAGTAAGATTAAGGTCAGCGCTCTGGGCTGTTTCAGGCTGAACACATCCAATCATTTGGACCTGGATTGTGCACAAAGGCAGTCATGCTAAAACAGAATAGGGTCTTGCCCAATCTTAAGCTGACCATGCGCTGATTGAAATTCAGATGGTTCAGCACAGACTGGGTGAATTTTCATTAGTGTGTGCTGGGTGCAAATAGTGGGGGCATTTCTCTGCCACCTTGATTGTGTGGCTGAAGAGATCTGGCTAAATGAATCAGTGTATGGCCAGCCTTAGACTTGGTCTATATTGCATTCATATATAAAAATATATATTTTATTGATATATGATATATGAAAATGACCTGGCATATGTTAAACTCTGTTCCTCCTGTGTTTTCTTCCATTTCAAACATATTAGGTGTTAACTTTGGAAGCTGGATTGGTGCATCATGTTGTGTGGATGTCGCCAGTGACATTGATGCCTCATCTCTGATCTAAATAAAGAATATATAGAAACAACCAAGTAGTATCAGTCATTAACAGCAAATATGCTCAAGATCAACTGTTTTTGACAGAAAAAAAAAACACATTCATTATAACTAAACTCCATGCATGTTTTGTATTGGATTCTTACATCATAACACATCCCATTCTGAAACCAAAGACATTGGTATAGAGCTACCAACATCCCTCCACCCAGCTTGTACCGATATAAGTTTACATACTGTATCTCATACCTGAGGGGCTGCTGGGGAAGCGGACAATCGCTGTCAGTAGTTGGCACTTCTACAGTGATAGCCGCGATCTTCTTTTTCCGACCAGCTTCCCTTCTGCAAGAGGGGTGCTCACGTGGTGCTGCCGCCATTCAGAGAATGCCTTGCACTTTTTTGGATCACTTTTCCTTCCACTGATTCAACACACTATTCCTCCCTTAGACACTAATAATGCTTCCCTTCTGCAAGAGGGGTGCTCACTTGGTGCTGCCACCATTCAGAAAATGCCTTGCATTTTTTTTTTCAATGAATACAAAGTTTTCTCTGACTGTATGAGGCGGAGATCATGATGTCACCGTACATATCTCTACCTCATCTAATCAGAGAACAGACACTGTTTGCGTTCAGGGCTGCTCACCTGTATGCCTGTCAAGTTAGAATGAGTGGCTGTGTCCATGCAGCCGTTGTGTCCCCACAGATTTACATGGACTGTTTGCACAGAGCACCTGGTGGCTCCGGCTGCATAAACAGTCAAATCATGGTGTATGAGCCTCAGCGCTGTGTGAATGAGGCCTTTATCTGTGATTACATGAAGAGCTGACCAAAATATCGACTATCTGGGATAAACCAGGCTAAATTATTTAACTGGCTATTGTTGCTCTGTGTAATTTTGGTTGTTCATTTTAGTGATACTGTAGTTCAGAATTCCAGGATGTTAACAGAAAGTCATATGGACAGCACAGTGCAACAACCTAACCTTAGTGGCACTAAGCTGGCCAGTGAAAATTCCACAGTGGTTTTTAAAGAGAATGTATTGTGGGATTATACAGACTCTATTCTCTTTCGTCAGTGTATTTAGAATAAAGTAAAAACTCAGTTTATCAGTGGTCTCCAAACTGCATCCCTTTGCTTGCTTTTATCCGGCCTTTGGATCACTTTTCCTTCCACTGATGCAACACACTATTCCTCCCTTAGACACTAACAATGGGGCTGAATTCCTGCTACTGACAACAGAGCACTATTCCTCCCACTGACATCAACGATGATGCACTATTCCTCCCCAACACCAACGATGGAGAATTATTCCTTCCACTGACACCAACAATGGGGCACTATTCCTTCCACTGACACCAATAATGAGACACTATTTCTTTCAATGATACCAATATTGAGGCACGATTTCTTCTAATAACACCAATAATGAGGCACTATTTCTTCCAATGATACCAATAATGAGGCACTAATTCTTAAATGACACCAGCGATGGGGTACTATTCTCCCAATGACACCAATGATGGGGCACGATTTCTCTCAATGACCCCAATGATGGGGCACTATCCTCCCATTGACACCAACGATGGGACACGATTTTTCCCAATGATACCACTAAAGGGACACTTTCTCCCAATGACACCAAGGATAGGGCACTATTTCTCCAATGACACCAAGGATGGGGCACTATTCCTCCAACTGACACCAATGATGAGGCACGATTTCTCCCAAAGAAACCAATGATGGGGCACTATTCCTCCCAATAACACCAATGATGGGGCACTATTCCTCCCAAAGATATCAACAATGGGTAACTATTCCTCCAAAAGACACCAATGATAGGGCACAATTCCTCCCAAAGACACCAATGATGGGGCACAATTCCTCCCAAAGACACCAGTGATGGGGCACAATTCCTCCCAAAGACACCAATGATGGGGCACAATTCCTCCCAAAGACACCAGTGATGGGGCACTATTCCTCCCAATGACGGGGTGTTATTCCTCCCCAATTACCAAAGATGCATTGTTTCCTCACACTGACACCAAGACAATTTCTGCTATCATTGGTCACAGTATGGCCACCCTAAAGTCAAGGAGAGTAAAGCAGCCCTTTGCTTAGAAATGTTATAGATCATATCATACGACTGATCAGAGCTATTTACCTAAACTGTGACCCCCTCCCCTTCCCGTCGCCAATTCTCTGCCCCTCCACCCGCCTATGCTAACATGTCCCCCACCCCCCCTCTCCCTTACTCTGCCTGCTCTGTGTTTACCAGCCCTCTTCCTAAAAAAATACAGGCAGAGATCAGTACAGATCACTTCTGTATTCATTAATCACTGACACATAGTAAACACTGTGTTCTAGGCTTCATTTTATGAATAGAAGTCTATGCAGAGTCCTAGCCATTCATCCACAGTGCAGCTCAGGCTGCAGAGAAAGGAACTGTGAACAGTTTAAAAAAAAGAGACATAATAGAAACCCCTGATTTCTCTCCAAACCCCCCTCCCCCCCAAAAATGTTAAAAAATAAAAAACTGTACCTCTACAAAAACAAATTAAACAAAAAACATAGCAAGGGTGGATTTAGACACGCCACATTCAGATCACGGTCCAGTGGTTACTGACAGGCCGTGAGGAAGCTATGTGATGCCTCCTCACCGCCTGTTTTAACTTCATTTTACCAACAAATGCGCCACAACCGCATGCATTGCACAAAGTTGCGGGGCTTATGCAGCACTTCGTCTTTGACATGAATGTATAGTGTTCGGTGGATGGCATTGGGCACATTGGGTCAACTTTGCGGTGGGCACCCTGTTCACTGCCTGTTGCAGATTAAGGAGTGGTGTTTGGCAAAAACACAGCTCAACAGCACATTTTTGCCACCCCCAACCGCAAGTCTAAACAAGGCATATTACAGGGAGGCCATGTTTAGCTGCACAGGGATGCACAGGTGTTGTGTGCATCCCTATGCAGGCAGTCCCATCCATATTAACTGAGACAAAGTAGCTGCATCAAGACAGCCATTGCTCCCAACTTGACATCCATGTGGGTGTATGCTCCTGAACTCACACTCTTTGTGTTTGGGGCCATAGACCTACACCCGCACGGATGTTAGATCTGTCCTTGCAGCTGCTGCGTCCCTGTTGACATGAATAGAACTGCCTGCACAGGGATGCACACACCACTTTTGCATCCCCATGTGAGAAAACTCGGCCCTCCATGGATGTACACTTTAGTATACCCCATTGAAAGATGCCTTAGTATGAATTTAGCAGGAATTTGGTAAGTTATGTTGTGGTTTTGTGTGCAAATTAGGATTTTAGTGTTTGGGCTTTTTTAATGAACATAGCGATTTTCTAAACATTTGCGCAACTATTGTGGGGCCTAAAAAAAAAAATCAGCAGCACCTACTTTTTATTCTACTGGTCATGTGCTTTCAGAAAATATATGGTCTGGAGGGTATTTTACAAACTCTGAAAGCTGGAAGTGAAAAACGAAAACCTCTAGATTTTTAGAGAAATCTGGTTGTTTACATTTTTGTGTACATTTCATTTTCTTCATTTCATAAAAAGGTGCAATTTAAAATTTACAAAGATCTGTTGCTTATTAACTCAATACAGGATAGGCTTTTATATTTAGTAATAATTTAGCAGGGAATTTGTAAAATGTGCTGTGTTTGTATTTGCCAATAATGATTTTAGAGTATTTTTAGCTAAAATAATTGTTTTAATAAACATTTGCACAAATATCACGGGGCCTTAAAAATCAGTAGCACCTTCATCTTATTCTACTGGTTATGAGCTTTTAGAAAATATATTTAAGGGGTATTTTACAAAAACTCCAAAAGTTGTAAAGGAAAAACCAAAAAGCAATGGAAAAAATTGCAAAAAATGGTCTGGCCACCTGAGTTTAAAAAGGGAGTGCAGGGCTTGGCAGCAAAAGGGTTAAAGTGTAACTAAAGGCAATTTTTTTTTACTTTTTGGATAGCATGGAGACCCCTGCCAGTTTTTTTTATTGCTGTCTGTGCTCCCATTTACCCTCTCTATTTTCATGGTTACAATTATCATTGAAAGTGAAGGTAAAAGCAAATTCCAGGAAAGGAACAGAGTGAAATCTTACAATGGCGACACTAGTTCTGGGGACAGCTATATCAACTAAGGATTCCCTCACATTGGAGGGATTTCATCTCACATTGGAGGGACACAGATGGAAAAAAAACCTGATGGAGGTTATAACTATCCCTTAATCTATTCAGAATGAAAAAAAAAAAAAAAAAGATTTGTCTTTAGTTCTACTTCAATAGTTTGTGCAATCTCACCTTGTTTAGGTGGGTTTCTTCTAGGTGTTTTTTCTACCACAACTCAAAGCATACTGGTAAGATTACTATTTCTAATACTGACCTACTGTGTTAAATTATGGCAGAGACATTAGTATGTGAGCTGTGACAGCAGACAGGGATTGATATCAATGATTTTATGCACTCCATAAAAACCTGGATGCCATAAAAAATAAAGGACATAATGCACTGATGCAAACATCCACAGTTTAAGGGTGACTGTTTCAATGGGTATGCAGACTCACTGTGGACGTATGAATACTAATGTATTGTTTAAAATGCATTCACCTTTGTGTCCTTTCCTTTATCCCCAGCAGGAATGAGCTTAGGCATGTTCAGATTCTAGTCCAAATCCATGACTGAGCTTGCCAGGAAGCTGTTGTCTGTACTGGACCAATCATAAATGGCTGAGGAATTCCTTGACCTACACCCGCATGTATACATGCCTGCTTGCTCAGGAAGGTTGAAACTAGGATTTGAATAAGTCCAAGTTTATCTCTAATCCACAACTTGAGAGTCTAGGTCTGAGCGATTTACATAGTGAACTATCAAACCTCCAATATAAAAAGAAGAACACATAATGTCACAGTAGCGTCCTCTGTTCCCTTCTACATCACTCCCCACAGTAGTATCTTCTGCCCCCCCTTCGCATCACTTCCCACAGTTGTATCTTGCGCCCCCCCCTTTACATAAATTTCCCCCCACAGTAGTGTCTTCCTACCTACTTTCACATCATCCACCACAATAGTGACCTCTGCGCCCCCCCCCCCCCCCCCCACACCACACACACACAGTACTGTTCTCTGCCCCCTTCACATCACCCCCCCTCCCCCCCAAGTAGCATCCTCTCTCCCCTCATAGCAGTGTCCTGTGCCCCCCCATCCCAGTAGTGTCATCAGTTCCCAGCCCCCCCCACAGTATTGTCCTGTGCCCCCCCCAATAAAAAAAGTTTGCTCTGCTCCCGAGTAGTATCCTCTGTTTCCAGCCCCCAGCAGTGTTCTTTGCCCCCTTCACATTTCTTCTCCCCAACACACAAACACACAGTACTGTCCAGCCTTACTCTCCTACCTTATATACAGGTGTACAGCGGAGTAGGGAGCGGGAGGCAGCACAGTTCTGGATGGACAGCAGGAGTTGGCAGGGTTAGCTTTTCATATTACCAGCTGGTGGTTGGTTGCTAGGACAGCTCCTGCTAACCGTCAAGAACTGCTGCCACCCATTCTCTGCTCTGCTGTGACAATGAGAGCAGCAGAGGCTGTGCTGCCACCCTTCATTTAGTGATCCCTGGACTAGAGAGTTGGCAAAGCAGGGGTGTGTTCATGATCTACCCATCACTTGCTGGCGGTCAACAGGTAGACTGTGATCGTTGGGTTTCCAACCCCTGCTCTAGGTCCTCGAAACTACTTGAATTAGGGCTTTCAAATGCCCTAATGGGAAAACATTTGTATCCATGTGTGTCGAACTGCCCTTCTGATTTGCAGCTATTCTGCACATGCTGTAAGTGCACGTTCACCACCTAGCATGCATGCCCATATTGTTTTGAAGCTGGAAAATATGTTGTACAGACATAAAGCCATGGTCTATTTGTTAAGCTAAACTAAAACAAGAAATTCCTTATGGTCAAAATATAACAATGTTCATCTCAGTATAACAACAAGACCTATTGCAAACTCTAATACCTTTTGAAAGGATGCGGAAACAGACTTCATGTAGCTCATCAAGGTTTCTTTATCCCTGGAAGATCACATATAAACAAACATACTATTATTACCACAGCCAAGTAAGCATTTGATTGCAACTTAAAAACAGCTTCAAATGTATTGCGCCTGATCAAAATCAACTGAACAGATTTTATCTTAATAATTTATTTCAGAATAATTCAAAGAGTGCAAGAGTGTAAATATCTACAAATCATAGAAGAGGGTTATAGGAGTTATTCAATAAAGTTTTTACTCTGAATTTCTCAAAGACTTTGTACTTTCCCAGGCTTGAAATGAAAACATACTTTATATTGACCACTAGTTTGCTAAAACAAAACCTGACACCCACCTCACTGCCACACGTAGGGCACCTTCTGCACTGGTAATGCTCTTTTCCAGTTGACATTTGCCCTGCTCCAGCTTCCCAATCCATGCGCTTTGCTGACGTAAATATTGATCTTTTCTCTGTAGCTCCTTCTTTGCCTCAGAGAGACTCTACAAAGATCATTGGAAATGCAAAGGACGTGTTGTTACTTCTCAACATTCCAGCACGACTTCCATATAACCTGTGCCAAGAGAAATATGGAGGTTGCCACTGCTGACCTCTCCTGAAAATGCTTTTACCTGGCTAGCATGATAATCAAATGGCTTCTATAACTTCACTGACCAGGAACAAGTATGCTGATAAGGAGTTTAGACACTTGTTCATTACATTTGTCTGAAAACCAAGAGATTAGCATTTCCAGAAGCAGGTCAAGAATAGCAGCCTACATGTTTCTCTCAGCACGGGTTTCTTAGAAAATAGATCCGTCAGGAGATATATAAGGGTTTTGGGGTTATTTAAATTAAAATTATACAGGCAAGTTTCCTTGCAGTTATCCTGGTCCACCATCTTCATTATTTTCTGGGTATCCAACCAGGAAAAGGAAGATTAGAAATGTTAATGTTAAACAGTGGCAGCTTTCAAGTTTCTTTCATGACAGGTTTACTTTAAGAGCACACTGAAATATGTTCTATATATGAATATTGCAATACTTAGGTTACAAATTCTCAGTTTTTCTAAGCTAGTTTATATTAGACTTACTGTATGTATAGAAAAAAGCTCTTTACATACAGTGCTAAAAAAAATGGAAAAGTTACCTTGATTGCCTCTGATAGGGTTTGATCTTTTTCTGCATCTTCCTTTGAGAGCAGTTGCATTTTAGAATTAAGATCCATTAATTGCTGAGACTGTTCATGCAGAAGCATCTGAGCTTCCTGCTCTCGCAGAAGAGCTTTATTGAATTCTTCAAAGGCAGTTTTAAACCGCTCATATGGGACCACCTTTTGAAGAAACAAACAAATTTGATGAAGAGATGAACTAGATACTTTGTCATAATGTGTGTGAATATGAGTGGAAAGCATTGGCATTTCAAACAAACTGTCTTGCTCTAAGCATTGAACTGAAACACTCACAGATTTATACAGTAAGGCAAATGGCAATGTGTAGTACCACAGCAATCAATTTCAATATACCTTTTCCATGATTTAACTATGATTTGCTACTACAAGCACTGCTGTTGGAATCGTATAATAAGATTGTATTTAGTATATATAATCCACTTAAGCAGAGTTTACTGTATAGGGGGCTTGACAAGCTTTAAAAAGTAAGTAAATAAAGCCATCTTGGCGTACTCATTAGTGGAAATTTACAGAACACTGGAAAAACTCAAGCTTGCATTTTTTTAAAATACACTGTCCACCACAGGCAAGATCAAATAAAAATTATTCACCTTCAATCTGGAGGTGCCCTAGCAGAAAGTACACTGCCCCATTAGATGGTGCTCCTTTTTTGGGTTATATGGCAACCAGCGCTATTCAACCCACTTTCTGCAAGCCCAGACTATTATGGATGTCATCACATGGACTTGGGCTCACAGTACTGATCACTGAACAGTGCTCAAACAACATTATATGAATGTCGTTCAGTGCATCAATAAGGACTACTGTCAAAGGACAAGAAGAAAAGACTGTGAAATCATTGCTTTGGCCAGGAGACAGCTAGGATGTAGAGTATTTAGTTAAATAATTTATTCTGAGTAGTCTGCCAACACATCAAAAAATTTACATTTTTTTTCTGACACGACGTACCACAGCACATGGGAGTGCGATACCATGTATTGTTGTGGCGTTCAAACCATGAGCACCAGAGCTGTATTATCTTAGTTCGTTGGCATTGGCACTGCTACATTCTAATGCACGTGATGTGTGTTAAGGTACAGCAAAGCACTGAATCACAAAAGGTGTGAATTGGGTCCAAAGGTATGAATTAAGTGCAGATGGGATTTCATTTCACCTGGCCACAATGGTGATTTTGTTTTCTAGGCCCTCCATACTCTTAGCAGAGATACAGAATAATCAAGATATAGTCCTGATTACTGTAATCTCAGGACAGTTCAGCAAAACTAGGGGCAGGCTGGCAAAAGCAGCAGAAGGCTATTTTCTTGTAAATTGGCATCCTAATGGTGGCAGAGCTTCAATCTGTGCTTTTCGCAAAACAGAATACAATCACATTAAAGTGTATCTTTAGTTGTTTATTAAGTAGGGAATGGTTAGAACTCATCTCCATAAAATTATTGCTTATGCCTCCACTTACACTTGCAGATTGCTCAAAATGCTGGCCATCCTCTTTAAGCTTCTGTGCCTTGTCAGCATTTTTGCCACGTTCACTGAATTTCTGCTTCATATCTGACAACTCCCGGCGCATGGATAGTCTTTCTACTTCTGCTGTATGCAGACGTGCAGTAAACCCAAATATCTGTTTTTTTAAGGCAGCTACGCATTCCTATTATATAAAGAAAAAATCAAATCAAACACACGCAAGCTTCCTACATGAAAGTGCAGTGATCATTAAAAACAAAAAAACTACATTTTATAAGTCCACCTGCTAATGAGAAACTGAAGTTGGAGTCCTAATTAGTTTAACTAAGCACTATGTTAAGTATAATTCTATTACATATACTGCCACGCAGTTCAGAAAATTGTTAATGCAAATGTAAAAAAAATAAATATATATACATACATATACACACATATAAAAATACATACATACATATGCATACATACATATACACACACGTTTTTTTTTTTTTTTTCAAGACATGCCCAGTCAGCTGTAGAGCAGAAGATTACTACTACTAAAACTACATTCACATGAGCAGCTGGGGGTAAGAGTCAGTAGATTTTTGTGGGCAGATCTACGTGGTGCAAGCACGTAGTTTGTGAACAGCAGCAGCTGTCAATGGTGGTTTTCAGATTTGTATTCTCTATGAAACAATTTTCAGCACCACCACTGTTTGTATGTGAAGCTGGGCTCACACTGTCAGTTGCTTTTTTTTGGGGGGTTTGGCAGATCGCTGCATCAACACAAGCAATGGTGATGCAGCGAGCTCTCCCACTGTATCTTTGTATTCTGACAGGAGGTACTCCTTTCCCCCCCATTCACAGCCAGAGCTAGAATAGCTCTGTCATGGCCTCCGTACTGAATGGAAGTGGCCTGATGTCACTTGTGACATCACTACAATTTGAGTGTAAACAGAATGCAGAAGCATTTAATTTACTTTTGCTTTTACAGGAGCCCAAAAACTTAAACTGTAATTGGTGCTGGATGCCAGCTGTCAGCTGTTCCAGCCTGCACACCTGCCAGGACCCATGAGACCAATTGCCAATTTTAAATGTCACTGAGATGAATAGATGATATCCCAGTGCGGTTTTAAAAGGTCACTGATGACTCAAGTGGTTAATAGTCACTACATTTCACCATCCACAGGTAGCATGTATACTAGGACCCGGGAAGGTCTATAAACACTTTGAGTTATCAGGCCCAGGACAGGTCCATGGAGTAGGGCCAAGCACGGATTAGTCTGTACTTGGTGTGTTCATGTGGATTTTTAAAGGGTGTGTATGACCCTTGTTGACGCTTTTAAGGCTTGATAAAGAGGATAGCGTCTTTTAAATGCATTCCCTTGGAGACTGTACCCGTAAGCCAAATTGCCACATAGCAACAAGGAAGCTGATTGATCTCTTCTGTGACCTGGTCCTTGCATGCTCAGCCCTAGTTGCCATTTCCTTTATTGCTGGTTATGGAAAAAGGGGGATCATTTTTACATCTTACTAGGCAGGCTTGTTAGCGTTACTTCCACCATGTTCATATGAACGGATATTATTTTATAATAAAGGTGTCATTTTGCTTGTCACAAGAGAGCCCTGAACTTTATTCTTATTATCCTAATTCCAGAGTTTGTGTACAGATGGGAGATCTGCAGTTTCTGTAGCAGCCTGTTAGCCCACGGAGCAAAGCATATCACTGAGCCATACCTCTGCATCCAGTGAGCTCATTCAAATGGGATTCCCAGAACAGTAAGCTGTGACCTTTGTGCTTGTTATGTAGAAATTTTGGTTGATTTAAAGGGCATAATTTGCAGTCTTCTGTTATGTTTTCCTCTGACATATTCTGAGCTGCACTTATTCTTTCCATTGCTCTCATCCAACCTGTCCATGCAACTATCATGCGCTGCAGAATATTGTTTGTTCTTCTTTTATTTAGAAAAAACTGAGGCATGCTGTTAGCAAGAAGGGTTATCATGAGCCAGCCTGCAGTTTTGTTTGCCATTATCTAATCCTCCTGTAGACAACAGTATAACCTAAAAGGTAAAAGACTTCCTATGTCACTCAATGGACAAAAAAGAAAACAAACACTCTATTATCTCTAGCAGGGGTTTTCAGGTCACTAGATTACTGACAATTGTAGGGGGGACTGATCCATCAAAAACAGATCATGTTTCCTGCATGCATCTCAAGTTTTACCATTCAATTCAACTGTCAGCCTATACTGCCCTGTCTAGAGGAAAAATGGACGCTTGCATCAAAAAACAAAAAAACAAAACAAAAAAACAACCCATTGTTCAGCACAGGATAACCCTGCTCACAACCATCATGCCTCTGTTTTGTAGAAAAGTATTACTAAGAGCATGAAACACAGGGGGGGGGGGGGGCTTGTGTACCGCAATGGACTCCCAGAAAAGGATTTTAGAGTGAGTACAAAAATCCTATTTTTTTTTTTTTCTTTTGGCCATTCAGGGTGTAGGAATTCTTAGAAGTCTCAGATTGCTTGGATATCCAAAAGTAGTCCAAAAGACTGGCTGGGAAGCGGTGCTGGAATAAACCAACCTGAATAAAGCTGAGCATGGTGTGGGAGATTTAGTAAGGTGGGTAATGACATTCACTGTCAGGCTCAAAGTAAACCCTCAGGTTCAAAAACACACAGATCATGCACATACCCACACATGTGCAAACAAGAGGTAGCTGCGATACAGTCCCAGCCTAATAGAAAACAGAGGGAAATTTAGAATGGTGGTAGAGCCTAACATAACTCAACAGCCAGAAGTAAGCAGTAAGTAAGCAGCGGTAAGCAGCCCTGAGTGAGGCACACATAGCTGAAAAGCTGCTGAGGAAAAAGAGCAGACACTATGAGCAAACATTCTGCCCCCTCAACTGTGACTCACCAAACTTACTAAAAGGCCAGAAAGGTGGCTGAGGGAAATAGAAATGCTGCCTGCAGCACAAAAAAACAGTGTTCAGCCTCTGCATACAAAGCTCTAAAAAGAAGCTCTTAACCCATAGTCACACCACGGAATCCCCAGAACACTGGCCTAATTTGTAGCAAACGCCTGTGAAACTGAACACAGAACAGATTATAAATTCTCACAACATGTCTTAGAGCTGACATTCAACAAGGAATCCCCAAACACTTGCTTGACCTGCAATGTAAATTCAACTGAGAGTTGACACAGACAGATCGTTAATAATTGAAATTCTTCCAAAAGAAGAAAGAACAACAAAGCTGAAGAAAACACTTCCACTCTCCTATGGACACTAGAATAAACTGACACATGATGGTTGTAGGCAGGGTTGTCCTGTGGTGGCCAATGTTTTTCCTGTTTCCAATGTCCATTTTTCTTGTAGGCATGACAGAATAACTCAGCAGTAGAAGACGTAAAAGAAATGATGTGTCCCTCAATTTACCATAAAGAAATTCAGTGTAATTTCTACTGACCACTGTTAAAACACAGATGTGATGCCATACCTTGACTGGAGTGGTACTGGTCAGGCCCACATTTGGCGTCTGGCCATAGATCTTGCGAAGACCACAAGCAAGTCTGTAAGCAAGGGAATCAGAGTCTATGTAAACTGAATGTCTGTCAAAGGCCACAGTCCTATATTCCATCTCTGCATTTAGTTTCTTAATCAACTTTGAGAAACAATTTCTGGCTGTATCAATTATCAGTCCTTCAGAGCTACAATTCAGATCTAAAAGAGAAATAAAATAGGATTAATACTACTTCATATATTTACCAAAGATATGATTTGTACCAACTACATCGCAATTAACTATTCATTCACAGTATTACAGAATAAGGTGGCCAATATTGCAAAAGTGTCACATGGCAACTGTATGCACTTAATTGATGTTATAACAATATTTAGAAAATGAATTCCTTTTGTTTTTATTTAACATGCTACTTTTTTCAGCATTTACCTGCAGACCAAGCTGTCCAGCAAAAAGAACAGTGACAGGACATGAGACAAACAAAATACTGAAGAAGTTACTTAAAGAGCTGGGGCTTTATTCAAACAGAAGATTGAAACCAAAAACCCTTGGTAGTGTGGTATATTTTGTGTCAACCCACATCACTGTCACTTTTGCTGACCAGCATGTACAAGTGGATAAAAAGAATATGTAAAAAATAGGATTTTTGACTTGCCTGTAATATTCTTTCCTTGGAGCACATTACAGGAATCAGGCTGGGTTAGCTACTTTCATATGATTGGAGACTGGCAAACAAAAGCTTTAAAAAGGACAGCCCCAGCATAATCTCCCCACTCTCAGCGAGCCTCAGTTCATTAGCAAGCAATAAGAAATAATCATAAGAACCTCTGTACCATGCAATCCATTGCAGGCAAAAGTACTGGAGTGGAGTTTGGAGTGTCTTTAACATGGACAACTGCATTGTGTTTTGAACACAGTGTGGGAAACGTGCACGGAATGTGGGATTCCCGTACCACATTCTGGTGTGAACGGGGCCTGAGTGCAGTCTGATGTACCTTATGCCTGAAACTGGCATTACTGTAGAAGAGGTCTGAACATCCACCTGATAAAAAAAATTAACAAACGTATGAACATAAAAACAAGTGGCAGCCTTGTAAATCTGGGAAACCAATACCCGATGCTGAAAAGCCCATTAAGTACTAACAGAACAGGTAGCATGCACCTTAAAAGGAAAGGAAAAACATAAGGAGAATCTGATTGTCTAAAGCAAGCTGTAACCAAAGGCACTAATTCTGAGGAACATTTCACAAGCAATCTCTGAAAAAAAATGGCTAAGGCAGAAATGTGACCTCTTGAGGGTACTTAAGGCTGAATACTGCTTCAGAGTAGAGGAAAGACAAGATTTGAACCATGAAGTACTAGTATCAGGCAAAGTAGACCTTCATGCGCAATGGTAAATTTTGCAAGAAGGTGATCACCTAGCTTACAGGAGCGTAGTTCAGACAGACCTTGACAGACTCCTGTCTCTTAAGACTTGGGCTTTAACACTGAAACCCTGAGCATGATGGTGAGCCAGTCAATGAGGCAGATTGAGTAGAGGCCACAGAGAATTCGTCAGTGGTTTAGCAAAGTCAGAGTACAGGTTTGGTGCAGTGAGGATCACCAGAATGCCCTTCCTCTTGATCGTGTGATGCCAATGAAGAAGGAGCTTAAAGTGGAACTCCACCCAAAAGGGAGGTTCCCCTTGTTTTGCAGCCTCCCCCTCCCCTGCCACATTTGGCACTTTGGTGGGGAGCGGGTACCTAGTTTTGACAGGTAACCACTCCCACTTCCATGTGAGTTTGCCGCGGCGATCTCTGGGCCTTCCTCCTTCCCACTGCAGTCTTCTAGGACACATCACGCATCGCAGAAGACTGCGGGACCAATCACAAAGCACAGCGCCACTCACGCATGTGCAGTAGGAAAACCAGCTGTGAAGCCAGAAGGCTTCACTGCTGGTTTCCCTTAGTTAAGCTGCTTGCAGCCGAAGCCAGTTAAGGAAATTCGACATTGCCGGACACCTGGACATGCAAGTGTCCTTACAGTAAAAGTTAGTAGCTATAGTATATTTTTTCTTTTTTTTTCCTAAGACCGGAATTCCGCTTTAAGTTGACGAAAAAGCATAGATCACGTTGAACAGATACCACAGATTCACTAGGGCATTCACTGCAAAAGCCTGAGGATCCCTGGACCTGTCAACAAATCTATCTTTATGTGGTTGAACCTGGTAGCAAAAGATCTATGTCTGGTGTCCTTCACCTGTAACAGAGGTCTTGAAACACCTCTGGGTGAGAGACCATTCTCCTGGAACCAGACGCTGAAGACTAAGAAAGTCTGCCTGACAATTTTCCACTCCTGAAATGTGCACTGGGGACAAGGCTGGAATGTGGAATTTCACCTAAGCAAGAATGAGATCCCATTCTCTTTGAGCTGCGCAACTTCTTGTGCCATCTTGATGGTTGATGTAGGCCACCGCCATAGCATTGTCAAACTGTGACCCTCCAGCTGTTGCAGAACTATAAGTTCCATCATGCCTCTGCCTTTGGGAGTCATCCTTGTAACTGTCAGCCATGCAATGCCTCATGGGGCTTGTAGTTCTGCAACAGCTGGAGGGCCCCAGTTGGACACCCCTGGTCTAATGGAATCCTGGTCGGGTAGCCACGCAGATGAGAAGTCGCGCAATAGAGGGAAAACTGAATCTCTCCGAGTTCTAGGATTTACATTGGAAGCTGGGCTTCTGCCCATAACAAATTCCCCTGAACCAAGAGGGTCTCCAGGACTCCCTCCTCAACATGACAAGCTGGCGTCCATTGTGAGCATCAACCAAGACATTGGGAAAAAAGATTCCCTGATTCCAGGATCAGATTGAAGATTCACCACATCAGGGCAAGTCTACTTTTGCTGGTCAGTCGGATGATCCACAGACTGAGTCTGCTTGTCCATGCAGTCACAATGTTGAGCTGCATCGGCTGATGTGAAATTAGGGAGCACCGCACTTCCTCAAGGGAGGTTACCATCATGTTTGAACCCTCATGTAAAAGCAACCGGTGGGGCACCACCATTGCTGCTATGTTATAGGTTCTATGAGTTTTCAGCCTTGCAAAAACACATTATTAGGAGTAAACAACATCAGTTTTTTGTGGAAACAAACTCTCAAATGCAATTAGAACAATGTTTGCACATGACTAGTTTCACTGTCTTCTTAAACAATAGGGAAATAGATACTATCGCTGTATGGGCAATGTACACATTTTCATTGTTTTAGAGGAGCTTTTTCAAATATTGGACACAAAACTACGTCAATAAAGATTAAAAAATGGCTTGAATATGGCATGTATGTTTAGCGTACATGTACAGTGCCATCTTGAGTTTGGAATTTGAAAATGCTTTTATGAAACTGATGTAGAAAAGAAGAGATAGAATGGGTTACACCCATGTAGGAATGGCCCACCCAAACCCACTCTAAAAAAAGGCCAACAGAACAAGCTGAAAGGGGGACTCCACAAGATCAAAATGGGGCACTGCCAGAGTGGAATTCACAAGACACAGGCAGACTCTGCCAGAAGGGAATAACACTAGAAGCCACACTACAGGAGGTAAAAAGCAAGAACCCCAGTTTCCTAAAATCGCTTGAGATGCCTGGAGTCCTGTTTGCCACAGAAATCGCAGACCAGCAGTAACGGAAGATAAGTGGCTTTTTAGTGTATCTCTATAGCACACAGACCATTGTCAGTGCTCATTTGTTAGAAAGGTTAAATAGCGTGTGCATGTGTGTTGTATGCACATATGTAGTACTCTGTATGTTCTGTATTATTTTCCTACAATTGTAAGGAAAATTGTTTTTTTTTTTAGTAAAAGCACAGAAATACAGCCCCCAAGGTCTAACAGGCAGGCATGGTGTCAACAGCAGGGTCTCTAAAAGAAAACACGGTCTTAGGGCTGCTAACCATTTGGCCATGGAGTTCTTGAAGGCTAATCATCCTCAACAGGAACCACAAGGGCTTTGTCACATCAGAGAATGACTGGATTCATGACAAGGACTGTCCATTTTCACAGGAACCCCTCCTCCAATAGATGGATAAAGATTTTCTCCAGATTGGGTCAGTCACCATACAAGTCAGGCATCAAGCGCAAGTGTACAGACATCTTTAAAGCACCCACACTGGCAACTTTTGGCCCCAGGTGAAGACAGTACTGCATCAATAATGACAAAAATAAAATCCTCCAAATTGGGGGAGATATCAGCGCATTGAATATCCTCCTGAGCAGAGTACTCAGAGTCAGATGGGGAGCCCTCCTCTTCAGAGAGCATAGAGGAGAAGAGGAGAATCAGAGATGGACCATGGAGCAGAGACAAGGGGAGCTCACTTGCATCCTCTGCAATCCAAGGCACGAAACAGAAGACAGCCTTCCCAAAAAATCAGACACAATGGCTGAAATTTATTTCTGGAATTCAAAAGGAGAAAAGGGGAGATCCAAAAGTAGCTAGGGAAGTCTTTGAGGAGGGAAATTATTTTGATTGAGGACTATCAGAAACTGCCCTTATAAGAGGATGCAGTACACTTTCCTGAGTCGTAAGTTGAGTGACAGCTGGCAGGGCCTTCTGACCCATTCACCTTGCACCCAGGCCACACAGGGGTGGGGACCAGGAAAAATGGGGAGATAAGGACAAGTCCCATCCAGCTTTTCACCCTTATGCTAGGCATACCCCCAACAGGGGGGGGGGGTCTTCAGAGATAAGGTCACTCCACGTGGTAGTGCAATAGCCCTGGACCTTTATAGCACCCTGAAGCTAACATAATACACTACACAGCATGCCTAGGTGAGAGCCCATGATCCGGTGTCCTAACCTTCCATACAGGCTGGCCCTGCATCTTCTTCCTGGTGGAGTCTTGGTAAAGTCCCCCAGGGTGCAGCCAAAGAGTCAACCGATCCAGAAAGCTGCCAAATAAAAGCTGCAGTGACTTTGAGCAGCTATTCACTTACATAGAGAATTATCATGTAAGAACTTAGAAAAAAAATTATGCCTAAGTAAACTGGCAAAAAACCAATGCTTGCTGGGAGCAGTAGAGGTTATGCTGTCCAATCGCTTCAAGTTGCTGCATAACCCAATTATCTAAGACTAGGAAACTGTGTCCTGTAATGTATGATTAAGAGAAAGGAATCTATAAATGGATTCCCATCATTAATATATACAATGCATGTGGATACCAGAATATCTGATGATTAAAACATATTTCCACTTTTGCAGTCGAATTTGAAAAAAACCCCACTATATGTTTGTTATGTGTTCCCGTTCCCACAGTATGCCTAAAACATTTTTTTTTCCAAGATTTCCTTCCTTAGATGTTTCATGGGAGAGATGTCGTGACTGACTGCAAGGTTTTTTGAACAATGTTGTGATTTGATACAAACCAAAAATTGACATTACCCCTGTTGTTTAATAATCGAATTAATTCAGACATAGAAGTAACTACTACTGACAGGAGATCAGTATTTGTAAGCCACTTTTCAGCTTCTTTGCAGTACATTGGTTCATCTTGTAATCCTGAAGTGAAAAAAAAAAAAAGAAAGTCAAAATACACCTACAAAAATGTCCGTTTTCATTATTATAAACATATTAGGCTGTTAAGCTGTTGTCAGACTGAAGAATATGCACCCAAATGTGCCAGTCATAGAGTTATCTGTTCATTGTGGCCCCAATAAAGGGTTTGTTCACCTTAGATTAAAAAAAAAAAAAAAAAAACATCTGTAGTGATTAAATTTAGCATCAACAAGTAATCAAGTAGTAACAACAACATCATATTCTCAAAAATATTACTTATCCCTCCGTTAGGAAACAAATGCACTTTAGTCCTGAATTCATGGATGAGGTTTTTTTTTTTTGTTTTGTTTTTTTGATAGCTGTAGATACATGATCATACACTGTAGTTCATTGTCCTGCATAAAAGGAGCAAGGGAAACAGGGAGACACAGGTGGGTGTGTTGTATGCTGGGAGTCGATAGCTCTTTTTTGAGCTACCCAACAATCCATCTGTCCTGGATTATATCCAGGACAGTGATTAGACTGACTGGAAGTTTTCTTTTACAAAGTTTTAATTAGAAAAGTTGCACAGTACAAAATATTAGTAAAATAGCTATACTGTATAAACACTGATCAATAGTTGGTACACAGTAATAGTGGATGGACTTAGCACAATATGTGTTATCACTAAATAAGTGACAGATAAACTAAATCTAAATATTAGATTTGAATATTAAAGAACATTGATTTGACCAGTAAAGCCAGCAACCCTAAAGGAGATGGCTATGAGTTAGCCATGGCTCCCATTTAGTTTTGTATTTTGTAAGAGAGTCATAAATAAGGTGAGACTTCCATAAGCTAGATGGAATCAACTCTGGTGATAATTTATTCAAAAGGTGAGCTTAGGTGATTTACAATGATAAACTATGGTCCACTGTGCAGGCCCCAAAATTGCATAGGTTAGATGGACAGGAAAATTTTTGTAAGCCACAGGTGGCCTACAGGTATGTGATGTAAAAGAAAACAATTTTTTCCACACAATGAACACACTGGGGCCTATTGTATGCACTAGAAAGTTTACAACAAAGGTGAACTAACTAGTGTTCATACCTTCAACACGATTTGTTACTTTCTGAATGTTTTTTAGGTGATCACTTTAACATGTTGCCTGGCATAAAGTACTCCTAGAGACTATAGACTTCCAGGGTCTGCACTTTTGACATTATAAAATGACAAATGAAAAGTCTATTCAGATACTGTCAGGATATACTGCTGCCTACAAGAGGATTGGACACTGGCAAAAAAAAAAGAAAAAATTGCAGTTTGCCCCAGGATAACTCTTCCTATACCTAGCATTCCTCAGTTTGTAGCAAACAGTACCAAGAGCATAAACATAAAACACAGATGGGTGGCACCAGTGTTTCTCAATGGACTCCAAAAAAAGTATTTCTTGGTGAGTACAAATTTCCCATCATCTTTCTCATGTATTAAGAGACACAGATCAGATACTGTTTGAACTTCTAACCGAGGAGTAAAAAACAAGGTTACCAAATACTAACAGGTCCAAGAAGAGAACTGGGAACTACCGTCAGCCCAGCAGCAGCCTGAAAGACTAACATCTGAAAATGAATCACAGGAGGCCGAGCCCCCAACGATATAGAGGCACCTGCCAACAAGACAAGAGGGGGTTACAGAGAAACTACCTGACACCTAGACAGAAAGGTCACTACCAGAGGGGAAGACTACACATGGAAAGAACACCGAGCCTGACCCAATGAGAATGTGCTCAATCAAAACCCACCAAAAACAGATGCAACCAAAAATTTGTGTGAAGGAAAGAGAAGACCCACAGCCTTAGGTGGCCAACAAAAAATGTGGACAACCCCCTAGAAGGAACAGGTTCCAAGAAGTAACTAAAGACAAAACAGGTCAAGGCAAGAAGAAAGACTCACAGTCTTTACACCCTGACCCCTAGGATTAAAGAAAGGAAAACTGTCCATGGAATTCAATAAAGCAGTAATGTTACTTTTCTGGAGGAATGACCGCTTTAATTCATGAAAGCCTTGTGCTAGTTCCTATGCAAGTACAGACACATGCACCAAATTCAGGTAGTTCTTACTACTGCTATTTTTAAAATCTGTCACTATGGCTGCAACAGATTCTACAACCCCAATTCAAAAAAAGTTTGTACGTTGTGTAACAATAAAGTGTAGTGCAACAGACCAATATCTCATATAAAAATAAAATAAAAAAAATAAACCATAATTAAAGCCCCATGAAAAAGTCTCTTATAACACCACTGTGCAATGTGTACAAGTTAAATCATCTCTCCTCTTCTGTGCCAACCGTGCCACCACCATTAGGTGAAAAACCTGCTCACTGCACTTTATGACCTCATTATAAATTTATATTATATTATGTCATTATGCGCTCACATGTGGACAGATTTGTGTACACCCTCTGTGGTCTTCCTGCCGCTCCTCTCCCAGCACCGCCACAGTATACACTCCTCCAGCTGACGCTCTCATATAATATGCATTATGGAAAACAGAAAAGTGGAACCATAGTGCTCTCTATTTATAAAACAATTTATTAGCGCCCAGATTAAGAACACTTACAAAATGTAAGAAACAAGCCAGCATATAATGTATAATTTTATTACATGGCTCACCACCCTGCTCTCCCAGATGGCCATCAGTACAAAACATCTAGGGCTCAGCTCCTTCCACCAATACGCGTTATGCCCCAGATACGGCCTTCCTCAGTACTGTGTTCAGTACAGTGCTGTGTTCACAGCCATCCAATACTGCATTTCGTCATTGTCCCTTGTGCACAGAGATTTCTCCATATTCTTAGAATCTTTTATATTATGTGCTGTAGATAATGATCTATCTAAAGCTTTCGCAATTTTACGTTGAGGAATATTATTCTGAAGTTTGACAATTTTAAGAGACATACAGTGGGGAAAATAATTATTTGATCCCCTTCAGCTTTTGTAAGTTTGCCCACTTACAAAGAAAGATAATTTCCATCATAGGTGTATTTTAAATGATAAACAGAATATCAACCAAAAATCTTGAAAAAAAAACACTGTACAATTATTATAAATGGAGTTGCAGTTCAGTGAGTAAATTAAGTATTTGATCCCCAATCAACCGAAAACGTAAATGTATTTTATTGGGATTTTATGTGATAGAACCAACACAAAGTGGCATATAATTGTGAAGTGGAAGGAAAATGATTATTGCTTTTCAAAATGTTTTATAAATAAATATCTGAAAAGTGTGGCGTGCATTTGTATTCAGCCACCGAGTCAATACTTTGTAGGACCACCTTTAGCTGCAATTACAGCTGCAAATCTTTTTAGGGATGTCTCTACCAGCTTTGCACATCTAGAAAGTAAAATTTTCCCCCATTCTTCTTTGCAAAACAGCTCAAGCTCTGTCAGATTGGGTGGAGAGCGTCTGTGAACAGCAATTTTCAAGTCTTGCCACAGATTCTCAGTTAGATTTAGGTCTGGACTTTGACTGGGCCATTCTAATATATGAATATGCTTTGATCTAAACCATTCCATTGTAGCTCTGGCTGTATGTTTAGGGTCGTTGTCCTGCTGGAAGGTGAACCTCCACCCCAGTCTCAAGTCTCTTGCAGACTCTCACAGGTTTTCTTCTAAGATTGCCCTGTATTTGACTCCATCCATCTTTCCATCAACTGTGACCAGCTTCCATGTCCCTGTTGAAGAAAAGCATCTCCACAACATGATGCTGCAACCACGTTTCACAGTGAGGATGGTGTGTTCAGGGGGATGTGCAGTGTTAGTTTTCCGTCACACATAGCATTTTGCTTTTAGGCCAAAACGTTCAATTTTGTCTCATCTGACCAGAGCACCTTCTTCCACATGAGCTGTGGATCCCTGCATCTCTTCCACAGTTACGATGGCCCTTTTGGATACTTCTCTGATTAATGCTCTCCTTGCCCAGCAAGGATTTGATATTTTTTTATAACCAAACCCTGCTTTAACTTTCTCCACAACTTTATTACTGACCTGTCTGGTGTGTTCCTTGGTCTTCATGATGCTGTTTGTTCACCAATGTTCTCTAACAAACCTTTGAGGGCTTCACAGAACAGCTGTATTTATACTGAGATTAAATTACATACAGGTGAACTGTATTTACTAATTAGGAGACCTCTGAAGGCAATTGGTTCCAATAGATTTTTGTTAGGGGTATCAGAGTAAAGGGGACTGAATACAAATGCGCACCACACTTTTCAGATATTTATTTGTAAAAAGGTTTGAAAGCCATTTATCCATTTCACAATTATGTGCCACTTTGTGTTGATCTATCATGCAAAATCCCAAATTTACCTTTTTGGTTGTAACATGACAAAATGTGGAAAATTTCAAGGGCAATAAATACTTTTTCAAGGCACTGTATTTTTTCCCATTTTCTATTGCGAATAAAATATGGGTTTATGAGATTTGCAAATCATTGCATTCTGTGGATTCTCTGAATTTTACACAGCATCCCAACTTTTTTGGAATTGGGGTTGCAAAACAACTAGTGCAAGTTCGCAGATAAGTAAATCTGTGGAGGAGGAGGTTGTGTATTCATTACTCTATTAACATTTGAATGCATTTTAAATTTGCTTTATTGGTTGCTAGGATGAAGGATGCAGGGTGTCTAGTATGGACACTCCAACCTTAGTGCTGATCTCTGACAGATTCAGATAGAGACATTCATGTACCTAACAAAGACACATACAGTGGATATAAAAAGTCTACACACCACTGTTAAAATCAGGTTTCTGACATGAGACAAAGGAAAAATAATTTCAGAACTTTTTCCACCTTTAATGTATCCTATAAACTGTACAACTCAGTTGAGCAACAAACTGAAATCTTTTAGGTGGAGGGAAGTAAAAATAAAAACTAAAATAATATGGTTGCATTAGTGTGCACATCCCTAAACTAATACTTTGTTGGAGCACCTTTTGATTTTATTACAGCACTCAGTCTTTTTGGGTATGAGTCTATCAGCATGGCACATCTTGACTCTTCCCACTCCAAATCTGTCAGATTGCGAGGGCATCTCCTGTGCACAGCCCTCTTCAGATCACCCCACAGATTTTCGATCGGATTCAGGTCTGGGCTCTGGCTGGGCCATTACAAAACGTTCTTCTTCTTCTGGTGAAGCCATTCCTTTGTTCATTTGGATATATGCTTTGGGTTGTTGCCATGCTGAAATATGAAGTTCCTCTTCATGTTCAGCTTGCTAGCAGAAGCCTGAAGGTGTTGTGCCAATATTGGCTAGTATTTGGAAATGTTCAAAATTCCCTCTACCTTGACCCCAGTTCCAGCTGAAGGAAAATAGCCCCGAAGCATGATGCTGCCACCACCATGCTTCACTGTGTGTATGGTGCTATTTTGGTGCAGTGTTGTTTTTGCGCCAAACATATATCTTTTGGAAATATGGCCAAAAAGTTCAACCTTGATTTCATCAGACCATATCACATTTTCTCACATGCTTTTGGGAGACTTTAGATGTGTTTTTGCAAAATTTAGACGGGCTTGGATGTTTGTTCTTCATGAGAAAAGGCTTCCATCTTGCCAATCTACCCAATAACCCAGACATATGAAGAACATAGAAGATTGTTGTCACATGTACCACACAGCCAGTACTTGCCAGATATTCCTGCAGCTCCGTTAATGTTGCTGTAAGTCTCTTGGCAGCCTCCAAGACCAGTTTTCTTCTCGTCTTTGCCTCAATTTTGGAGGGACGTCAAGTTCTTGCTAATGTCACTGTTGCACCATATTTTCTCCACTTGATGATGACTATCTTCACTGTGTTCCATGGTATTTCTATTGCCTTGGAAATTCTTTTGTATCCTTCTCCTGACTGATACCTTTTAACAATGAGATCCCTCTGATGCTTTGGAAGCTCTCTGCGGACCATGGCCTTTGCTGTAGGATGTGACTAAGAAAATGTCAGGAAAGACCTACTAGAACAGTTGAACTTTATTTGGGGTTAACCAGAGTCATTTTAAATGATGGCAGATGTGTACTGACTCCTATTTAACACGAGTTTTAATGTGATTGCTTAATTCTGAACACAGCTACATCCCCAGTTATAAGAGGGTGTGCACACTTATGCAACCACATTATTTTAGTTTTTTATGTTTACTCCCCTCCTAAAAGATTTCAGTTTGTTTTTCAATTATGTTGTACAGTATATAGGTCACATTAAAGGTGGAAAAAGTTCTGAAATTATTTATCTTTGTCTCATTTTTTTACATCACAGAAACCTGACATTTTAACAGGGGTGTGTAGACTTTTTATATCCACTATAGATCATTTGGTTGCAAGCACATCACTTTCAGTGCTGAGCTCCAACGGAATTCTAAATAGTGTGACAGGGTACTCCAGCAATGACCTACACATGTTATGCAGGATCTGAGATATACCTGAGTGCGAGAACCTCTCCTGCATGTGTACAGGCTAACAGTTAGGAGAAACTGGTTACCAAGAGATGGGCCTTAAGGGAATAAGTGCCGACTACCTTCTGGAGAGGCTGAATGACCACAGCAGGAACTATCTTGTTCATAAAGACAGACATGTTAAACTCCTAAGAAACTAGACTGTCAACAGCATTGCTGTAGCTAGGCAGCTCAGGAGTTTTTCAGTGTTCCAGGTGCTGTAAAACTCTGAAGGGAAGTGCCTGTGAGTCTCTATCTTCTTCGGTAGGTATTTTTGTCAAGGGAGTTTCAGTTGACTATGTATTTTTCTAAATAAATTTGTATTGAGAGCATTCTGTTTAACTATTTTTTACCTTTATTGTGATTATTTTTTTTTGTTTGGAACTGCTTGATGATGAGCAATTACCAAAAGGATTTTTTTATCCCTTCATTAAGTTACCAACGTAAAATCTGATGAAGCCAGACCTGTATGTATCTTTCAGATGTTGGACTCTACAGGAAGATGCTGACTACAATGATCCACAAAGCTGATTTTCTTCACAGGAAGACAACTGAGCGTCTCACAATGGGCATGCCGGGAAAAAGCACTAGACCTAACATAGGAATCAATGTTCCATAAAGTATCGGGTGTACATGTGCAACTCTAAATGAGCCAGGGCCTTAATTAAGTGGGAAAAGCGAGCCCCAGACAACCTAATAGGTCAGGGAGTCTCTCTGAAGAGGGCTGGGGGGCACTGAGGGATACCATGTATGATCAAGGGCCTTACAAATTACAAGGACTGGGAGAAAGTTGGGGGGGGGGTAGTTGGGGCAGCACAGCTACAGAGACCAAGCTGAAACATGGACTGGTGGCAAGGGGGAGAGTATGGTAGAGCTATGGACCCAGAAAGCGCTCAGTGACTGACTTTTATTAGTATGCAATGTCTGGAAAGAGCAACAATTTAGCCCCACAAGGTCCAGTCCAGCAGGCTTTGGGAAGGTCAGGCCAAGAAAAATGCCAATTTGGATAGCCAATGTGTAGAAACCAATGTATGCAGTGGGGAATCTTGACTGAAATCAATGGAAAAAAAGATTCCAATATTCAATCTAAGGAAAATAAAAGCTGGAAAAATATTGGTTAGACTTCTCAGCAGAGCTGAATAAAAAACAGGCATCCGCCTGGGAAACCGGCTAAAAATTGGCATGCTGGGTAGAGAAGGGTTTTTCCTGAAGATAGCCTACAATTTATGTGTTTGCCAGTATCCTGTAGGTAGAAGTATCTAAAATCTGTATCGAAAAAAGAAAGAGAAAGAAAAATTTACTTGGAATATCTCCCTCAGCAATAAGCCACTTGGAAATATTCAGTCCATCATGCACTGTACTCTGTCAGTACAAAAAATGCCAAGATTTAGCAATCAAAACAAGGGCAATAAACACATACAAGCACACAGATATGTGTGTGTGTGTGTGTATCAGAGGCAGGAGGTCACCAGTACCACTTCACGGTGCCTGGGTATTTGGTTGTCTGTGTGTGGTATGCAATATTCTGCCTACTTACAGAGGAGCTATAGATTCCAGTGTCAATCTGCAGCAACAGTCACTCTCCATTACCTATTATTTTTTTCTTATTTACTAGCAAAACTAATATTTGATGCAAACTGATTTTAAAAGAGAAATTTCAAGAGATATGGTATGGTAAAAAAAAAAAAGAAGTAGGATGTGGCCAATCATTCTGGATTGTGTACTATAAATGCAAAAACTGGATGGTAACTTTTTAGATTTTTTTTCATTGATACTGGTTTCATGTTGATCTTAATGTCTGCCAAGCTTTTTATTTTCCATCTAATATTCAATGTGATCAGTTTTGAAATTTTAAATCTTACTTGTTTTCTGTGTAGTCTGGACTTCTCTGATGCACACTGAAATCCCAGGTCTCCGCTTAGCTTTTTCCACCCATGTAAACAGAGATTTTCTAGCTTTACCAAGCCGTTGCAGCCGTTTGGCAGCCAAAACCACAATGACACCTTTCCGAAACAAAAGCTTCACGTGCTCTGCTTTCTTCCAAGAATCCGCCTTTTTCTTATCTCCAATTTCAGACAAAGCTTGGACTAAATTTTGGATCTCCTTCTGAATGTATACAGAAGAGTTAAATTCTTCTTGAAGGAGGGTTTTCTGTGCAGCCAACAAACAACTTCTGTTGTATAATGGGCATAGGGCACCAGCCATAAGGGCACAGGCTGCAAGGAGGGACTTGTGGTCTTTCTCTGTGTTGATAAGTGTATTTTTAATGCGCACATTTTCCATGGCCATCTGATCCTTTGTTTTTTCAGAGATTGAAGCTTTCCCTTTTAATTTTTCAGCAATCTTCTGATATTTCTAAAAATGGAAAGCAGAAACCGATTGTAATTATTTTATGTATCGCATGTTCAAAATCAAAAGGGAACTGTTTAGAGGTTGTTCGATATTAGCACTATGCACTTGGACAATTACTGCTGTTTACTTTGTGCACTCTTGATTGTACTTTATCAAAAAAAAAAATGATTTTATGAATGTAAAAAAAAAAAAAAAAAAAAATGAAAGGGTTCTAAAGAAAATTGCCTTTTACAGTCATAGAAAATGAACTCTGCTTTGAATTTTCTCATCTGAATACTTGAAGCATGCAAAGGAAATCAACTCTGTAAATCAAGATTAAGGCTGGCCATACATTAAGCAACTTTTCTGAACAGCTTGAACGAAAGAAAATTACTCGATTCCCCTATCAACATAGTCAGTGTTGATGGAGGAATCCCATCTTACATCCATGTAAGAGCTTATGAGATTTCCAAAAGAAGATATAGGCAATTGTATAGCATAAAAAAGCAAACCTAACAGATTCATAAGCAAAACGTCACACTGCTCTATGGATTTTAGCATTGTGGACTGGAAACAAGCAATACCGACATTAGTTCCCTAAGCACTTTCAACAGTCACCAAAATGTAGGCTGTAGGTGCATGCAAAAACATTATTAAGCCTCATGTTCACAGGCTGTTTGCTTTTCTCTTCTGAACACCAGCACCCCTGGTGGGGGAAAAGCTGCTCAAAAGTAACTAAAGGCAAAATATTTTTACAAATGTGGACAGAGAGAAAAAGGATTAGAACACCTATTAGGTTTTTATTGCAGTCTGTGTCCCTGTTAGGGATATTCACCCGATTTGTCCCGTTTACCATTCTCATCAAAAGTGAAAACCACACATTTTGGGTTGTCCTCAGAAAAGTAATAGAGGGGGAATTTTCCAATGGGGACACTAGTTCTGGTGACCTAGGGATCCCCAAGGGATTCCCATAATTTGCAGGGATTTCATCTCACTTCTGGTTTTGGCTATGAGACAGGAAGTGAAGGTAAGTCTCCCCACTGAGACACAAATGACAAAAAATAAACTGACAGGCATTATAACCCTTGCATTCGCATTTAGACGAGTTAAGCGTTAATAGATTCCATTGGCCAGAATATTAATTTATTCTGGTCACAAGGATGCATTAGCATTGAGTTTAGGCATGTTCAGCATTTTTACTGCTCTTCAATTCCTCTCCTGAATGTGCTTTTAAAGGTTTTTTCCAATCTGTAAACACTCCTCTCCCAATAGACCTGGAAATGCCTTTGTGTGCATTGACATATACTCTAACACAGCCTTTTTCTATCAGGGTGCCCCAAGAGGTCTTCAGGGGTGCTGTGGGGAGAATGGCTGTCACTTGAGCCCGAGCTCCCGATCCCCAGCCGCACTGTACGTTGGCACTGGCAGCAGTCACACCGCTCAGCAAAGTGAAAGCAAACGCAAGGGGAGAGTCTTCTGTGCGCTCTGCTTCTAGAGTGCAGTACCCAGCTGTACAATGGAAGCTAAGGTATTGTAACTTTTCATAATGCTGTATACATGTGTGTACATGTGTATGTGCGTACGTCTGTATGTCTGTATGTGTGTGTGTGCGTTTGTTTTTATATGTGTGTATATGTATTTTACTTTTAATCTAAACCCCTTTTTCCTGTCCTTTCAAAACTGCTTTTTTAGGACTTGTTCGTAATAGCAGCAAGGACTGTTGCTCCTCTGAAAAGCAATCCATGTTCAGATCGCTTTTCAGAGGCATTTGACAGGTGGTAAAGAGGCAATATGTTGCCTCCTCACCACCTACTTTAACCCAGTAAAAACCAGCATCAATCACCACACCATAACCACATGCAATGAGCAGACAGTGGAGGGGTGATTGTAGTTCAACCCCATTTACCTGGAGGTATACTTCCAGCTGCAGCAATAGCATGTGTATACATCCAGCTGCTGTTTCTGCAGCTAAAGGGGGAGCAGTTAGGGGTGGTAGAAGTAGCTCAATTTACCACCCTCCAACCTCACAGGTATGCAGGCCCTTGGTTCACATCTGTGTGGCTGTGAGTAGGGCAACCCATTCATTTCAATGGGCTGCCTTACCTGCAGAAAGGCAGGGAAAGTCATCCCTGACCTTAGTTTTAAAAGTGCACCACACCAAAAACCCCCGCGTTTGCCAATGTATGGGGGTACCCCTAAAGAGCAGAGAATTTGTCTGCGTGTGAGGAATGAGTGTGATTTTGTGTGCATTCCGCGACGCACAGTAACGTAACAAAGCCTCATGATTGAAAATACTTTTCAATGATGTCCCGACTGGAAAAAGGTTAAGAAACACTGCTCTAACATACAGGTGTTTTTACAGGCTGAAAAAAACAAACAAACAAAAAAAAACAAAACAAACGCCAAACATATGTAAAAGCAATGTTGTTTTAGACCAAATGTGGATTTGTTATATGAATGCTGGGCAGACATTGCAAAATCTGGTGTTATTTTACATAAAGCTGGCCACACACCATAACATCCGGACTGTACAGTAACCTATCAAGATTGTACAATCTGGCTGTAAAATGTGTGGCCAGCATTGGAATGCAGGGGCAGGGTATGAAAAGCAATGTCTTGTACCTGAGCCTTCTCACGAGCTTCTCCAAGAAGAGCAGAGTAATGTTGTTCCAAATCTTTGGTCTTTGTCTGCCAGTTACAATGCTGTGTTTTCATTTGTGCAGCCAGCTTGTCTAGAGAGTTTTCATGATTTCGCTGTAGATCCACGATCATAACAGCCTTGTGTTTGCATACTTGTTCTAGATGTGACACCTATTGTAAAAGAAAATTTAATGATAAAATGGTAGCAGACAGTGTGATACATTTTTTTTTCATGCCAAGTACTGTACCTTCTCATTAGCTTTGTTGAGGTCAGAGATCAGGGTATCAACATTCTCTTGCAACACCACACACAGTTCTGGCCATGTGAAATTACCCAACATGCATTCTTGCTGTTTTATAAGAACATATCCTGCCACTAGGCGTTGGTATAAATTGTGCAAGAAAGTCAACGTCTCCTTTAAGGAAAAAAATTGGGATATAATAAAGAATTCTGAAAGGAAACTCAAAAGGAAATGCAAATAAACTTGGGAAGGTATTTTAGAGAACAGTATTGAAAAGAAACATGATGGATATAGACCCCAGCGATATATGAAACTGTAGATCAATAATTACATATTTAAAAAAAAATGTGTTCTATTTTACACTTAAACAAGTACATTTTTATTGAGTACATACAGTGTGTAAAATAAATATTGAACACATTACAATTTTTCTCAGTAAATATATTTCTAAAAAGGTACTATTGACATGAGATTTTCACCACAAGTCAGTAACAACCCATGCAATCCATGCATACAAAGAAACCAAAACAAATACGTTCAGAATTTAAGTTATGTGCAATAAAATGGAATGACACAGGGAAAAAGTATAGAACACACTAACTGAAATGTATTTTATACTTTGTACAAAATCCTTTGTTTGTAATGACAGCTTCAAGATGCCTCCTGTATGGAGAAACTAGTCACATGCTTTTCTCAGGTGTGATTTTGGCCCATTCTTCCACACAGTCTTCAAATCTTGAAGGTTTCTGTGGGCCTCATCTATGAACACGGATCTTTAGTGCTTTCCATAGATTTTCTATTGGTTTCAAGTCAGGTGGTTGGCTGGGTCATTCTAGCAGCTTTATTTTCTGTGTAACCAGTTGGAAGTTTCCTTGGCTTTGTGTTTGGGATCATTTTCTTGCTGAAATGTCCACCCTCATTTCATCTTTATCATCCTAGTAGATGGCAGCAGATTTTGATCAAGAATGCCTTGGTACATTTCTCCATTCATCCTTCCTTCAATGATGGGAAGTTGGCCAGTACCATATGTTGTAAAACAACCCCACACCATGACGTCCCACCTCCAAACTTCACGGTTGGTGTGATGTGCAGTGCCATTTGACCTCCAAACATGGTGTGTATTATGGTATCCAAAGAGTTCAATTTTGGTCTCATCTGACCAGACTATATTCTCCCAGTATTTCACAGGCTTGTCTGTATGTTGTGCAGCAAACTTTAAATGAGTTTCAACATGCTTTTTCTTCAGCAATGGAGTCTGGCGTGGTGCATACAGGCCATGGTGATTGAGTGCATTACTTATTGTTTTATTTGAAACAATTGTACCTGCTAATTCCAGGTCTTTTTGAAGCTCTCCACAAGTCGTCCTTGTCTCTTGGACAACCCTTCTGATAATTCTTTTCGCTCCTCTGTCAGAAATCTTGTGAGGAGTACATGGTCATGGTCGGTTTATGGTGAAATGTTTATTCCACTTCCGAATTATGTCCCCAACAGTGCTCATTGGAACATTCTGAAGTTTAGAAATCCTTCTGTAACCAATCCTATCAGTATGTTTTGCAACAAGGTTGCGAAGGTCTTGAGAGAACTCTTTGATTTTACCCATCATGAGATGTTTCTTTTGTGACACCTTGGTAATGAGACACCTTTTCATAAGCTATCCGTTGAGACTGAACCAGCTGATATTAATTTGCACTAACAAGGGGCAGGATTGCTTTCTGATTACTGATAGATTTCAGCTGGTGTATTGGCTTTCCATGCCTTTTTGCGCCTCTCTTTCTTCATGTGTTCAATACTTTTTCCCGGTGTCATTCCATTTTATTACACATAACTTAATTTCTGAACTTATTTGTTTTGGTTTCTTTGTATGTATGGCTTGCATGGGTTGTTACTGACATGGTGAAAATTTAATGTCAATAGCACCTTTAGAAATATATTTACTGAGAAAAATGGTGATGTCTTCAATACTTATTTTACCCGATGTATATTGCATGATTATGTATTGTTTACCTTGAAGTTATTTTTGAAGTGACATTTCTACATGCTTTTACTTCAATATTTTTATTATATTAAACTTAGAAAACTGTAGATTAAAACTGAACTCCAGGTATAGATTTTTTTTTGCATAGTTACATTGGTCCAGTTTGGACCAAGATAATTACGCATATGCCATTCCTGTGGGACCGCTGTGGAAGTGGGCAATCACTGTAGTAGTCCCTAGTGATCACACTTTCTTCAGGGTCCCATTTCAACATGGGTGCTACTCATGGAATGCCTTGCATTTTTCTCAATGAATGCAAAGTATTCTCCGACTGGATGAAGTGGAGAAGTGTGGCGGTGATGTCACAATCTCCACTTTGTCCAGTCAGAGAACACTTTGCAATCATTGAGAAAAATGCAATGCATTCTGTGAATGGTGCCTGTGCCGAGCTAGTGATTCCCCTATATTAATTTTGAGGCAGATGAGCCGCCCAGGACCTGAACACAGTGGTGATCACTGTTGTAGTGACTTCTACAGCGATTTTCTACTTCCATGCATATTTACATTTGGCGAAGCTGGATCAATGTAACTATACAAAGCTGGAAATCAGCTTTAAAAACACCGTATTAAACTCAACCTCCTTTGACTTTCTTGGTTAACAGCTACCGACATAAGACAACAGCCCTGCTGGGAGTTTATAATTTTGCAAGTCTTCTGACTCACAGACATGCACTATGAAAAATAGCAGTCAAACACAGCCATTTGTGCTGCACTGCAAAACTAAAAGCAGAGTCTGTTAGTGGTTAGTGTAAGGAACAAATGTGGCCCATCTCCAATTATACATAACATCACAAACCTTTAAAGCTGTACAATTACAGAGTAGTTTGTCAACCCTGAGGTTGAGAATAATACATTGTCTTTTAATAAAAATAAAAGTATGGGCTCTAGAGAAAAAAACCCCAATCATACCCACCTAGGTCACCCACACTGGCTCTGCAGAGAACTGAGCGATCAAACACTGCGATCGCTCAGTTCTTCCCCTCTGCTCTTAGCAGAGAACAGGGACTGTCAGTCATCAACACTCTGCTCTGTTCCCCCAGCTCTCACTGGAGGGCTATGTTGTGGAGGGGGAGAGAGTGGCTGGCTCAAGCTCTCAGCGCATTGCTGAGAGGCTGGGCTTGTTGCTGGTCTAGGCTTCTAGACTGGCTCTGTGACGTCAGCCTGCTTTCAATTGAAAATGGGTGAGGTGGAGTGCAGAACAAAACTGCATTCCTGTGATTCATAGAAGTATAGCCAAAAAAAAAAAAAAAGCTTTGGCTATGCTTCTCCTTTAGTAATAATACTTTTAATTTAAATGACACTCTTCACTTGTAAAAACCTAAACTGACTTATTTGTTAAAACTGAACTCCAGGGAGAATAATACCCTTCCGAACATCTCGGGGCTGCCCCTGCACAGCTCATTTAGGTCTAAGGGAACAAGAAAGGCACTTTTACTTACATGTTCCATTCCACAGGTTCCTCTTTGCTGAAAAATTGCTACTCACAGCCTTCCCTTACCTATGCCCTGGTGGTCGCATGTCCTCTGATGTTATCAAGACCAATGCTGGGTGCATGGCCCTGTACTGGACATGACACCAAAGAACATTTCACTGCGGGAGAGTAGGGGAGAGCTGGCTGCTGGGAGAGAAGATTGGGTAAATAAAACTGCTTTTTTGCGTTTTTAAGCTTTGCGGTGCAAAGTCATCCCCCTGCAAGGGAGGATTTTTTTATCCCCTGGAGTTGGGCTTTACAGCAAAGTGAAATTTGTGCTATCCATCAAACTACATACTTTAGACCACTTTGAACTCTAATAAATTATATTCTCTACACAGTGAAAAGAAATCTGATCAGATAAATGATCAATGCAGTTTTACCAAGAACCAGTATTTCCAAAATGCTTGCATGTCGCAAAGCTGTCTGCTAATTGACATTCCACTGATGCCACAGTGCCAAAAGACCTATTTATAACTTCTCCACTGTCTGCTAGGCTCACAACCTTCCTACCTCCAAAAGGGAAGGCCCCACTGTAGATAGGGAAACCTTAATTCCCACCCTGAGTTCACTCCCCAAACCTAACCCTTAACCCAATCAGAATGCTAAAGCTTCCTTTTACTACATCATTTCTGACAATAAACCTTAAACCCTTACATTTTTTATGTTACACAATATCAGAGCAATATTTCAAGCCTTAAAATTGAACACGTCCATGATATGGTGATACAACTTCGATTCCATTAATTTTTCATAGGTGACACTCGGATAGCCTCCACAGGTCTTCAATTTAGAGTTAAAGCATTATTAAACCCAAAAGTAAACATATATTATACTGCAGCTTACTAATTCTTAGATGTGGTGGCTGTATTAGCTTTTTGTTAGGATTCCTCTCCTTTATTTTCAACTGGTGATTTGGCCAGTACGTCTGTTTTTCAACAGACCAAGCTATCCTGCAGATGTAGCAGTTAGACAGTTGAGACTAACCACTTACCACTGGCATGGGATTATTTCTTAAATGCTTGAATGTAACCTTATTTTTTTTTTTAACACTGTCAAACCCAGAAGTGATGTCATATAAATTGCTTCTCAGTTCTACGTAGGGGAGATCAGCAAATGGACATTTGCTAGTCTATCTCCTCTACCCGGTGGCACCTGCATTGCTGATCACAGGTGGGTGTAAAACCCCGTTGTTGAAGAGGAATGCTGTCGGTGGCAACAACAGGATTAAAGCCCCAATAAAGCACACCAACCAAATGTCACCAACACCTAAGTCTCTGATGCCCCTAAACTATGGCCCCTACATTTTTATCCCCAATCCCCTAGACTAACACTACATATGCTAAAACCCACAATCTTTAAAGCATTCTAAAATAATGTCCACTCTCTTTAACCCTTTAGTTGCTGAAACAGTTATTGCATATTTTATTTTCCACATGTTAAAAAAAGCACATTTTACGGTGCCTTGAAAAAGTATTCATACCCCTTGAAATGGTCCACATTTTGTCATGTTACAACCAAAAACATAAATGTATTTTCTTGGGATTTTATGTGATAGACCAACACAAAGTGGCACATAATTGTGAAGTAGAAGGAAAATGATAAATGGTTTTCAAACTTTTTTACAAATAAATATGTGAAAAGTGTGGTGTGCATTTGTATTCAACGCCCTGAGTCAATACTTTGTAGAACCACCTTTCCCTGCAATTACAGCTACAAGTCTTTTTGGGGATGTCTCTACCAACTTTACACATCTAGAGAGTGACATTTTTCCCATTCTTCTATGCAAAATAGCTCAAGCTGTCAGAGTGGTTGGAGAGTGCCTGTGAACAGCAATTTGTAAGTCTTGCCACAGATTCTCAATTGGATTTAGGTCTGGACTGGGCCATTCTAACACATGAATGAGCGTTGATCTAAACCTTTCCATTGTAGCTCTGGCTGTATGTTTAGGGTTGTTGCCCTGCTGGAAGGTGAACCTCCGCCCCAGTCTCAAGTCTTTTGCAGACTCAAACAGGTTTTCTTCTAAGATTGTCCTGTATTTGGCTCCATCCATCTTCCCTCTGACCAGCTACCCTATCCCTGTTGAAGAAAAGTATCCCCACAACATGCTGCCACCACCATGTTTCACAGTGGGGAAGGTGTGTTCAGGGTGATGTGCAGTGTAAGTTTTTTCCACCACACATAGCGTTTTGCTTTAAGGCCAAAAAGTTCAATTTTGGTCTCATCTGATTAAAGCACCTGCTTTCAACAATGGCTTTCTTCTTGCCACTCTTCCATTAAGGTCAGATTTGAGGAGTGCACGACTAAAAGTTTTTCTCGTAGACAGATTCTCCCACCTGAGCTGTTGATCTCTGCAGCTCCTCCAGAGTTACCATGGGCCTCCTAGCTGCTTCTCTGTTTAATGCTCTCCTTGCCCGGCCTTTCAGCTGGATGGCCATGTCTTTTTAGGTTTGCAGTTGTGCTATACTCTTTTCATTTTCGGATGAAAGATTGAACAGTGCTCCATGAGATGTTCAAAGCTTGGTAGATTTTTTTTCTAACCTAATCCTGTTTTAAACCTCTCCACAACTTTATCCCTGACCTGTGGCTGGTGTGTTCCTTGGCCTTCATGATGCTGTTTGTTTACTAATGTTCTCTAACAAACCTCTGAGGGCCTCACAGAACAGCTGTAATTATACTGAGATTAAATGACATACAGGTTGACGCTATTTACTAATTAGGTGACTTCTGAAGGCAATTGGTTCCACTAGATTTTAGTTAGAGGTATCAGATTAAAGGAGGCTGAATACAAATGCAAGCCACACTTTTCAGATATTTGTAAAAAAATTTAAAAACCATTTATCATCATTTTCCATCCACTTCACAACTATGTGCCACTTTGTGTTGGTCTAGCATATAAAATCCCTATAAAATACATTTACGTTTTTGGTTGTAACATGACAAAATGTAGAAAATTTCAAGGGGTATGAATACTTTTTCAAGGCACTGTAGGTCTAAAGATTAGTTAAAACTCATAATAGTGCACTCAAATGCAATATATTACCCACTTTATTAAACATGTTACAGGGGACTGTACAGCCGCAGAATTACTTCCATCTGAAAGCCAACAATCGGCTTGTGAAGTTTTTAAACCCCCTCTGCTTTTGTCAACGTAATCCTTATGTCTGTGGAAGTGAAAGAGTTAAAACTTCTAAACTACATTGTATGCCAGACGTAATGTTCTACCCCATTTTGACTTGTATTACAGTTTACAATATGTCCCGTCTGCGAAACGGGAGGCAACATGTCATGTTTATGTTCTCACTATGTTCTGACTGTGATCTATAGCTGTATATGCTATTTTGTTTCTTCTTATATTAATAAAGTATTTTTGGAACAAAACTTCTAAACTAAAGCCAGAGTGCTAAACCCCCTAAATCCATTGAATCCTAGGTCTCCCAGAGCAAGAGACAGAACCAAATACATGAAGTTCACTTGTCTGTATGTAACTGGACCCTGTCAGCACAAGGCCACTGTAGGGGTAATTGGGAAAGCTGGATTAAAACAGTGCAGTGTATAAAGCTGAACACCCCTAACAGTAAAGTGTTTCTTCTCCAAGTTTTATAACCACTTCAGTCCCATGTGCCATTTTAAAGAACTGGGACATAAGCAATTAGCCCCAGCTCTGGTTTAAAAGGGAATCAGCACTTAGGGGCTCCTGTTTCTCCCAATGGCTTCTGTGTTGGAACTGCTAGCTGTCAGTGAATTATGCGATTCAGCAGTAAGCCCAGAAGCTGAATCAATCAGCTCCTGGGCTTTCAATGGCTGACAGCAACACTGCCAAATATTACTTTATCAGTTTACTTTTCACATAAAAAGTGAAATGGTCTCTACATTGGTTCATACCTCTTTATTCTTTTGGAAAGTCCTGTTGATCTTTTGGATTTCACTCTCAGCTTCTAATACTCTTCGGGCTTCTTTCTCCCAGGCATCTTGTGCTTTTCCAAATTCCTTTTGCAGCCTAGCAATTTCAGACTCTTTTTCTGCGCATTTAGTGCTCAAATGATGTATTTCTTTTTCAGCAATGGTCTGTTCAGACCGAGCATTCTGAACAATAGTGAGATCAAATTAAGAAGAGTTCGTAGGCAGCACTAAAAATAGGGTCCATTTAAAAATGTTGGGTTTTTTTTGTTTGTTTTTTTTACACAGTATTCACAAACATTCACCTAGGGTTCATACATTTTTCCAATTGGATTGAATTGGAAAAATGTATAAATCCTGGGTGAAAGTTGATTGGGGTCTAATTATAAATGATTTAAAATATAATTCAAACTATTATGTACACAATAAAAATTATGTGATTTGAAGACTTTAAATTGTATAAACAGGTTTAAGCTCCATGCACACAGGTATACAAAATGCTGCTCCTAGGAGAGTTTAGCCTTTAGCCTGTAGAAAGAACTAATGTTATCCTATGTGTTCATGCACATTAGGTAGTCTAGAGGTGTTTTTTAAGCTAAGCGTTTAGCCCTGGTTCATACCAGTGTGGCTTTGAAATTGCGCTACCTCAGCACGATTTCAAAGCCACAGATCAGTGTGATTTTCACCTCTGATTTAATTTCATTGCGGCTTGTGACTTCATTGAACTAAAGTCTAGGCAAGTTGCAATGAAATCGGAAAAATGTGCAGGAGCCTTTTGACATGAATCATGGCAATTTGTATGGTTCCATTGTCGGAAATGGGGCTAGAATTAAAAAAAACGCCAGTGCTTCTGCCAGAAAAAGTTTTTAAGCCAGTGTGCATAAAGTCTTAAATGACATTTTAGACAAAACAAAATACTAAGTAATACTAGACAAAGGTTAACTCACTGTTAAAAATGGTTTCATCCTTCATAAACAAAATTATTGGCTTTTTATACTCACTATAAAAGCCTATTCTCGGAGTTTAAGGACACAGCAAAACTTCATCATGGAGAAGTTTAGTGGTGACACCTTCAGAAGTAGAACACTAGGTGCAACGTACACAAAGCACCCCTAAAGGGTGGCCCTCTGGTGGTGACCCAACCCCCCCCCCCCCCCCCATCTACAAGATGGGATCCAGTTGGTAACCAGCAGTATCAGGACACTGGGGACAATTCACTAAACGTCATCACATGTGTCATGTCGGTCAGATGACCAGATATGCGATACTGAAAATGTCAATTCATTGTTGCTCGTATGTGGTATTTACCGCAGATAGCAAAAATGCTCTGTAAATATCACCTAAAAACAACTTAAAGTCAATTTACAGGAAATAATTAAATGCATGCGGTAAGTAGTGGTTGAGGCATGCAGTATGTACTAGTTGTTAAGGAGCGGGTAAGCCAGTGGCATCCTTAACCAGTAACTGTCATGGTAATTAAGGAGCGGGTGGCTGAGGAGCCCTTAACAGATGAGTCACCAGCTATCAGCAGGGTTCCCCACTGACAGCTGAATGTAAAAAACAAAAAAATTGCCGGCAACTAAAAAATTAAGAAAAAAAAAAAAAGTGTGCCCCTCATCCATACCAAGCTCTTCGGGTTTAGTTTAGAAAAAAAAAATGGCGTGGGGTTTCCTCCCCCCCCAAAATCCATACCAAACCCCTATCCATGCAGCACGGTAGGTCAGGAAAGAGGGGGGAGGACAAGCCAATACTTTCCTATTGGCAAAAAAATTAAACGCAAAGGTGCACAACATGCGTTTGTGCCATGTGTCCATTCAAATCTATTGAACCAAAAACTCATGCAACGTGTTGCGTTTAAAAAAAAGTCTCCGACCCTTTTCACAAATGTAGCAGCTGAAAAATGCATAGGTGTGAATGTGTCCCATAGGGGACCACATTAAATTGACTGTAGTGCATTTCTGCAAAATTCACTAAAAAACCCATAGGTGTGAACCAGGCCCAACAGTGTGAACTGAAGAACAAGTAGCTGCCTGCACACCTGAACAGCAGAAGCAGAATAATGAAAACCCAAGATGTATTGAGCTCCCCGCAAGTATACACAGTAAGTCTAGGACCCTCAAACAATGAAGAGAGCATCAGACCTCCAAAAAGAGGCTTTAGCAAATGTAAGTTCTAATAGCTCCAACCACACATACAGGTGACAAAGAACCACTGCTCCTGGATGAGAGAGATGGGGGCACAAGGAGGCCATGACAACATCCTAGTTGAGAAGAAAGGCCAACACCACTTTAAGCAAAAAAAAAACAGTGCAGGGTGAAGAACCACCTTACCCTTTATGCAAAAGGATTACTTACTGGAAGGAGTTATAAGCTCGGACACCCAAACAAGCAGAAGTGATGGACTCTAAGAAAGCCAATGTTGCAATAAAGTTGAGATTGGAACATCTCACGTATTCTCAAAAACGAGGCTCATGTAAGGCTGACAAGACAAAATTCAATTTCCAAGGTGTTACCCCCTGGAGAAAGGTATGTTGAACCCTCATAAATGTAAAAAGGGCCAAGGCTGGCACTAGAACCTTGGTGAACATGCTCGGAGCCCATGCCATGCGTGCCATAGGTGTCCAAGATGTTGAACACGGCAAGAAGGTCCCCCGTTGTAAGAAAGCTATGACTGAACGCATCAACTCCATGTGAAACTTGCACACGTTCAGGGAGAAGGTCAAAGACTCTAGGTCCTTAAGAGGATGAATCCTGTCCTTCTTTGAAACAAAAAAGTGATTGGAGTAGAAGCTCTTGTACCATACGGATGATGGAACAGGGGTATGACACCCTGCATCAAGAACCCGAAAATGCAGAAGACCAGTCAGATAGCTGCTGAGGGGAAGAACAGAGGCTGGAGGGAAAGAAATGATCTGGCAACAAGACTAGAATTCTAACTTGTAGCTTGAAGAATCACCTCCAGAACCCATCTGTCTACAACATGACCAATCTAGCAATATGCAAACAGATGTGGTTGTACCGCACATGGAATCAGGTTTCACAACAGAGTTTGGGTGCTTGGGCTGTAAGAATGGTTGGTCGGGGAGGTGGCAGAAGATTTGGTGGAGTTGTCATTAGCGAAGGAGCCTGAACCACAAAAAAGACATGTAGCATCATAGCCCATTCAGACAGCGTCTGGAACACCAGAGCTGAATCAAGACATGGTCCAAAATAAGGCACCTGAAAACAGTGTACATAGAGTATGCAGTATGTGACCTGGCTATGAAAGCTGCTGCTATGCCATCTCTATGAGGGAGAGGAGTAATACGACCAATCCATGCCCATCTACTACTGGGTACCCGCAGCAGAACATGTGGGAGTCTGACTGGTGAGATTCCCCTTAGAGTAGCATTAGCTAAGACTGTCCTGAGGCAAACCAGGGACTTGTAGTTCTCCAAACAATGACATTTCCAGGTGGGCAAATTAAGCACCTTTGATCCTATATGATCTAGATGTCATCAGCCAATACGCAGGGCCACGATGGAAGAACCTGGTCCAACCATTATACGCATCCACTGATGGGACAAACCTCTCTGCAGGGCTGGTTGGCGATTCTGGGCGTCTACCTGGATCTATGATACCCAGCCTGTCACCCAGCACCACAGTTGAATGAAGACAAAAACAATCCTTGAGCTGTCCACAGGAACAAAGTCCATCATCAAATGGAAACAAAATCAATCAGGAACAAAAAAATGAAAAGAATAAAAAAAAAAAAAAAAACATTAGGTAAAAAGTCCTCTCTTGCAGATGGGGAGTTTGGTCACCACCAGAGGGCCATTCCTTAGGGGTCCTTTATTCTAAGTTGTTCCTAGCATCCTGCTTCTGAAGCAACTTATCCATGATAAAATTTTGCTGTGTCCTTCAATGACCAATAAAGAAATATTAATCTTTGATATAGGGTTGCATTTAGAACTGAAAAAAACACATTTCCTGAAAATACTAGTCATAAAAGGATAAGGAAATAATGTTTGGTTGCTGCTTTACTTGTTAATTTTAAGTGTAAAGAGCAAGTAAAGGCAGAAGGAGCAGAATTGTTACTGCAGGTCATTTTCCTATTTATAATGATTCCATCCAAGTGGAAAAGACAACAGGATAATGTATACCTGAAGGTTATTATGCAAAGATTGTATCATCTGATTGGATGCATTTACTTTATCTTTTCAACTCTTCGCAGACATGCTTTGTGTTTTCCAGCTAAAAAAAAGACAAGTAAATCAGTAGCATTAGTAAATTCTTAGCAATCCTAGATTATTTTGCCATGGACATATACCTTCAGTGCCTTTAATGCAATTAATAGCAGCGCAAATATCCAAAACAGCCATACAGTTTCATTTTGTCAACTTTGTTATGCCATTTAGGATCATATAGGTTACATACAGGCTACTCTACAAAGCACATTGATATTATAACTCATAATTAACTTTGCACTTTCACACAAGTGTGCTTATTCTTTTTGCCCTTGTCCCCAGCTAATCGATTCCACTTTCAGGGATGTTCAATTTATATCGCTTGACGCTCAGGACATGTAGTTCTGGGCGCTGGGCAGGTAGTTTTTTCTAATCTTTAGCCCTGCTGCAGGCAAGGAGCAGGGCTCACCTGTCAGGTGGAAGCATTTAGGCGGCAGTGCCTGATTGCTTCCACAAAGCCCACCACAGTGCCAGAAAACAATGCTCAACTCCCCACTCATGCGCACCTGCCCCCACCCGCTATGTCTCCTGGGCTCCGCTTGCCCATCTGCGAGCCCGGGACTGGGACATGTCCGCTCCCCTCCTCTTCTTGTCCTGACAGATTTCCTAGCCATAAAGGCATTACACCCAATGGAGCACTGGAAGAGACATGCATGGTCTTTTAGATCCTGGATGTCTGAATAAAGAGAACCTGTACCAAAAATCATCACATATGATGCGATGAAAAAAAAAAAATTTTTTTTTAGCTGTAAAAAATTTAATTTACACCCAAGCACATAACCCCTGACCCCAAAAATGTTGAGGCTCCTCACATATATGCACATACAAACATAAAAGCACACGCTGGGGCACCTATGCATGAAAATGTCAAGTTTGTTGCCATTTCACGAGCACACGTAAATTTAAGGTTTGACATGATGGATATCTATTTACATGGTGCAAGCTCATCTTTTATATTTTACCCAAACAATAGGTCAACTTATTGCTTTTTGGGGACCTAAAATTAACATAAGTGTATTTTTTACTGACATTTTGGGTGTTCCTAGACCTTTGCGGTAATATTGTGTGACATAAAAAATTGGAACTACCACCATTTTATTCTCTAGGGTGTCCGCTTTCAGAAAATATATCATGTTTGCTGGTTTTGCGTAATCTTTAGGCCTAAAGTGAGCAAAAGATGCAAAAAGGACTGGAGAGAATGGTAATGAAAAGGATAGAGGATAAGCCTGACACTCTCCTTTCCTGATGAGCACCCAATCAGTGCTCATTACACTGCAAGGTCTCTCCCCTCCCTGCTAATTCACGGGTGCAGTGCCGAAGACAGGCAAGGTGAGGAGGAGATAAACAGCTAAATCTTAAAATATATTAAAAATGTTTAAGTCGCCATAAAGCCTCTTTTGTAATTAAAAGCCCCAGACATTCCTTAGGCTTCATGTACACTAGCAGCTGCTAGACTCCAGTTTAGGAGCTTTTGCCATTTTTTTGCCAAAGCTCCTAAACTCAACTCCATAAAAGCCTATGTGTCCATGTACACTTTTAGCAGAGTTTAAGAGCTGCCACTTATAGATGAGGTTAAACCTCCCTCTCCTGAACGCAAAAGAATCGTGTTCAGAATAGGAACGTTTTGACTAACAACCATGGCGAAATGCGGAAAAAATGTGACAACCGCACTACCACTTCTTTTGCTGCGATTTGCGCTTACTAGCGGTCAAAGTAGGCTCGTGTACAGGAAGCCTAAAAGCACTTCAGATTTAAATAAATACAGTTTTGGTTAAAATTTTTCTCTTTTTTTTTTTTCTTTTACAAAGAGTTTTATTGTAGATTAAGCAGAGATAAACATTCGGAACACAGATTCATTGACCAACAAATATGAATTGTACTGTGTAATTGGGAGCTAATTCAAGGCATGTATTGGTAGAGGCATAAGCTTTAACTTATTGTAAAAGTGCTCTAGAGGAGAAGACGGGGAGAGGGGTAGGAAGGAAACGATTAACAAACCTTTGAGGGTCAATGATAATGTAGACTCTAAGAGGGAGTTTTGCTACATCAACATATAGAAAACAGGAGAGGCATGAGAAGAAGCCGCTCCAAATAATAATATATATTCCAGACCTTGGGCTCATAAAGAAATCCAGGTTGCATAGGTAGTATTGCAGATGTAGCAGATAGAACAGTGAGCACAATCAGTACAATATGCATAAGAACAGATTAGACAAGAGATTAGAAATAGACAATCAGTGAAAAGACACGGACAAAGAGGAAAAAAAAAAAAAAAAGGGGACTCCGAGGTAATCACAGCAAAATCAATCCTCATATCGACAGAAGGGACTGGTCGAATCTCGATGGTTGGGCTATATCCAGCCGGGGGGACGCCAAAAACTGCAGAATTTTTGTATGGGTATCCAACAATATAGCCGTCAGTTTTTCATTAACCATTATGAAGTTCCTCGAAGCTGAGGAGAGGAGTCTTCCAAGCTCTCGCAATTGTCAATTTAGTAGCCATAAATAAGTGTGATGCCAGCTGCCGTTCAGGACGGAGAAGGCCCTCCAGTGGTTTAAATAGAAGCGCTTCGTAAGGGTTACGCTTAATGTCTGTGTAAATCATAGTGCGGAGGAGAGCATACACCCCAATCCATAATCTGCTTACTTTAGGGCAAGTCCACCAGATGTGGGCCATGGTGCTCAATTGTTGGCATCCCCGAAAACAAACCGGGGAATATGTAGGGATAAAACTAGCTAGACGAGCAGGCGTATAATACCATCGATAAAGAATTTTGTAGGCATTCTCGAGAATAATGACATTCCTAGAACATTTAGATAATGCTTGGGTCATGGTCCGCCAATCCTGTTGATCCAAAGTCCCCCCTAATTCAGACTGCCAACGCTGATGATAGGAACGAACCGGAGGGGTTCTATAAGAAATAATGAAAGAGTAAATCAAGGAAATCAAACCCGGAGCATGGGGTCTATGTCTGCACTGGCTTTCAAAGGGGGACAGACGATAAGGTCCCGGATGCGTGCGTATTAGTGTATTAATAAAGTGACGAAGTTGAAGGTAACCAAAGTGTTCCCACAGAGAGGAATATTATAAGAAGAGCGCAGAGTTTCAAAGGTAAGTATTCGAGTGGGAGATAGGAGCGAATGTACATCATAAAAAACCATGCATCTGCCACCAGGCAAAATGCCTGGGATTGTCCCGACCTGGAGGGAATAATGGGTTAGGCAACAGACGCAACAACGGCAGGTAGGCAAAAATAAGAAATAAGGTGGGCAGAAATAAGGCCAGCGGAATATTTGTGGGCACAGCGGAATATTTGATAGAATCCCAAAGACGGAGCAAGAGCGTCAGTGTCCGTCTAAGGGTAGATGGACGTTGAGAGATAGGACGCCATGGCAAGGAGGAGAGCGGTATTGGGAGTCCATCAAATCCACAACAGCCCACAAGGGGAAGTGGTGAGATGCATGAATATGAGCTAGGGGGGGGCAATATTAGCTGCCAGATAGTAAGACTGGAGATTTGGGACAGACAACCCACCCTCACTCCTTTGCGCAAATAAGATATGTTTACTAATTCTGGGTCGAGAAGAGCTCCAAATAAAAGGACAAAAGTTTTCGCTGATGGATACGCAATATATGCAAAGGTACTGGAACTGGTAAAACACGAAATAGATACAATAATTTAGGGAGATAGGTCATACGGATCGCATTAATTCTGCCGAACCATGAAAGCGGGACATGGGACCAGGAGGACAATAGCTCGGTCAGCTCATGAAAGACAGTGGGGAAATTAGCCTCGTACAGTCTGTCATATGTCGAGGTGAGCTTAATTCCTAGATATGGTAAGGCCGAGAGCCACTGAAAAGGGAACGATTGTTTCAAAGTAGTCAAAAGTGATGGTGGGAGGGTAATTGACATAGCTTTTGATTTGGCAGTATTGACGTAAAGACCCAAAAGAATTGCAAAGGAATCGAGAACCGCAAGTAAATTAGGCAAAGTAACCCCTGGATTCGAGATTGACGATAGTATATCGTCTGCAAACAATTTATGTTGGGAGCCTGCCACATCAATACCCTTAATATCAGGTTGCATACGAATGGCTTCTGCCAAAGGTTCCAAGGCTAAGATGAAAAGTATAGGGGAAAGCAGACAACCTTGCCTAGTGCCTCTGGCAACCGAGAACGTAGAATACTCAAATCCATAGTATTTAAGCTTCGCTTGAGGGGATGTGTATAGCAAAGAGATCCATCGTAGGAACGAAGGACCAAAGCCAAAAGCGATGAAGGACGATAGGAAATACGGCCAGGATAAAGTGTCGAAGGCCTTGATGATGATATCTAAGGATAGGAGCATATCGAATTGACGAGTATGGGCTAATGGTTGTAATTGTAAAATACATCTAATAGCGTCTCCGGCTTGTCTGTGGGGAACAAATGCCACCTGGTCCCTTTTGATTAGACGAGAAAGGAAGGAATTCAATCGAGTGGCCAAAATCTTGGTAAGAATCTTCATATCGATATTAATAAGAGAAATAGGCCTATAGTTTGCCCAGGAAGAGTGATCTCGATCCGGTTTAGGGATCATAACCACATTTGCGGTTAAAGAATCCGGGGAAAAGTTCAAACCTCCCTTCACCGCGTTAAACATAGCGGCACAGTGAGGAGCGAGCACGTCAGCTAATTTGTTATAGTATAGTGCCGTGTATCTGTCTGGACCTGGGCGTTTGCCCGTCTTCAGGTCTGCTATGCATTGCAAAACCTCAGATATTTGAATATTACGGTCCATCAAGTCCTTATGGGCCAGAGTCAAAGTAGGCAGGGACAGACGAGATAAAAAAAATCAGAAATGGACTGAGGGTCAGCCCGTGTAGGATCAGTGTCAAGTTTGGCAAGTCGATACCGGAACTCTTCCAAAACCGCTACAGGATTGCTTGTAAGGGTATTGTGACGAGTACGTAAAGAAATCGGTTTGGGATGATGCGTAAAAGAACGTAATCTACGGGCCAACATA